ATTCTAACTGACCTTCAGGAATCACAAGCATCTATAAAGTCGTAAATAGAGGTTTTTGCTTATTTAAAATGATTAAAGCGCCATCCGTTGCATAAAATTTAAAGCAAAAACATATTCACGGAGGATAGAATCAATTTTTGTTACACCTACTTAAATGGATATAAAAATTATTTCTTTTTATTTTTAATAATATTTTATATTTGATTCGATTGCTTTGGATGTGTTTAATTTACTTAGTGAACTGATATTTTTAGTATGCTTTTACTACCTCAGATATTTGAAAACATATAGGTTAACCTAGAAAGAGTAACAGTCACGGATGATAGGTTTTAGACTTTTAAAACATTGTAAAAAATAATTAATTTCGGTTAAAAATCTGAAACCTGAGCTGTAATATCTACTTAATTATGAAAGATCAAAACAAAATAAAAGTGTAGGTCAAACTCATTTAGTTTTATTAAATATCACGGGGTCACACCATCGTGAGATTCACCCAAATATAAAATTTGTAAAATATTAAATTTGACGATTAAACAATTACGTACTTTTTTTACTGATATGATTATTTTTATTCATTTTTATCATCGCCAGTATATTCGACTCCACCGTTATCATCACCTTGATAAAATGTTGGATTTTCGTAAAAAGGTAAATCATTCTTGGGAACGTATTGTCTTGCCAATAGTACGTACCTATTACGTTGCCATATTTCAATTTTATTAAGGGTAACTTTTGATGATATATTCTTAAATTTTAGTTAAAAGAATAATAAAAATTTAATGGTACGAAATTTGTATCTCTTCGATTTTTTTGATAAATTTTATAATTTGACGATAAAATTTTGTGAATTATGACATTAATTTGAATAATCTTAATTAGGGGCGACAGGGGGCTGGAGTGGTTATTTGGACCAACGAATAAAAAGAAATTGCAATTTCTCATGAGAAAGTTTCTTGTGCAGTAAAAGAGTTCTTTAGTATTTATACGTCTATAGGTTTAAAAATATCTTAAAATAAAACATAAATTGTGGGTACGCAAAGACAATTTTATACAGTGTGTTCCGAGAATTGTGCCCATTATTATTTAAACTTGTTCTTTCATTACCTACTTCATTATTATAAAATAATGCTACCTTTTGTTGGGACTCGAATTTAAAATTTAAATAAAACATCAAATTGTTTTGTTTTTTTACAATCGGCTGTAGCACCACATGTTGTTTTTTGTCTTATTTGCAAAAAACTTGTTAATCCGGTTAAACTGCAGCTGGTTCGGCGTTAAAGATGCAATCCTTGAAAGAAGTATAAAATTATACGAAATAAAACAAAAACGAGTCATAAAATTCTTAATTTCTTATAAGATTTTTATGAAAAAAAATCAATAGCCCATTAAGTTAAATAATTTAAATATGAACTTTTTATATTTTTGATGGAAATTTAACACAATTTAACATATTTTTACCATTCAGTTTTTGTTTTTGTAAACTATAATTTAAACATGTAATATTTATTATTTGACTTCAAACTTTCACTCGTGTCCATAAAGGTTCAATGGTTTTTTACTTGCTGATGTATAATGCAATATTGCTATTGTCATTGAACATTATTTATTTAAATTATGGATATGTATTGACACAAGTATAATCTACTTACAGTACAGTACGTTTAGTAGTATAAATTCCATTAATAAATTATGTTTTTTTTATCTAACCTCACTTTCTCCTTTTAATAATTATTATTATAATTGTACGTTTTATGTATCGTTTAATAATAGTACAATGCTGGCTATTATTAACGGGGATGAGGTTTGCGTCACGAGTCGCAATTATCTATTATAACAAAAATTTAGAAAATAGACATTTTTTTTTTATCTGGACTGCGGCAACTTTGCAAATTTAGGGTTTTGGTTGGTAAATACAGTTGTCAAGTTGGTTGCATTGATTAAAACAAACTAAGCTAGTTATAAATCTAATTGTGGTTATGTATAAATTATTGTAGGTTACATTGTGCAGTTGTCAAGTTGAGTTGTCGAAATTCGTAGTTAAAAATTCAATTAATTTGGCTTTGGTGGTGCTTGGATGAGTAAAATCATATAAAAAAGTAGTTAAAAATAGGTTGCTTTACGGCCAAGAAGAGAAATTATTCCTAGCGGATAATAATCTTCGCTTTGGAAAGAATTTATATAAAAGAAATTAAAATTTTTTGTGAACGTAAATGTTGTCCAATGGTGAATAATGTGAAAATAATGTGTGATGTAATATTTATAAAACCAAATTCGTTACTTTTTTACTCCAAAAATGTCCATAAGGCGATGTACTTTTTCTTCCATTGTGGCATTTGGGATAATTTCATCAAAATATAGTTTTGCCCTCAAAAGGGCTTTTACATTCGAATTCGTTGCTATTATTTTTGGTATAATTATCTTTTTATTTATAATTGACAAGTAAATTATCAATAATAAATATTACGTCAATTTAACAGTGTCAGAGGATTTAATTATGGTCTTCAGCAAAAGTACCATTTTTTAAATACTAAAAATCAAACAGGCATAAGCTACCAACTTAATAAAAAAACACGATTTCAAATTAAAAAAAAAACTGGATCAAGTTTGACAATCGGCACGTGTTTTAGAGGGTTTTCATAGACGAAAAAAACTAAATTTTAATGATAAGTAAACCAAATGATTAACAACTAGGTATTATTTTTTAAATTTAGATTAATTACAGGTATTGATAGTGCTATTTTTATTTGGATTATATTTACCAAATATTGCGATTTTTAAAATTGATTAGATTTAATCAAATAGATTATGTTTTAAAAGTGTTCCCCAAATGATAACTTGGAATCTATTATTAACAATGATTAGAGTTTGATTTTAGTTAAATTTAGATTATTTAACTCTTTGAATAAAAAACCTAAAACCTAAAAGGATTTTCATTCAAAGATTTAAATCTATATAACCTGGCAACACTGTCTGAGAACAGCTGATTTAAATTCATAAACTGTCAAAATTAACAAAAACAATTTTTCGAAGTTTAAAGAGCAATGCATTTTTATTTTTAAATTTAATTTTATTTAGTAACAGATTGCAAGTTTTCGTTAAAGATTAATTTATTTAAATGCCACTTTATTTTTATTGCAATAATTTGTAAATAACAAAATAATTGGGAAATTATTGCGTTTTATGATATACCTACATAGGTAAGTATGTCTAATTAAATAAATAGTAAACACACAGATATTTAAAAATATATATTACTTTTGTTGACACGTTCTTGTTTTAATAGGCTAATAAATCAAGGATATATTGCACACGTACAGTTCATTTTTTTAAATTGGACTCGTGTTTTTTATCAAGTTGGTAGCTATGCCAGTTTGATTTAGTATTAATTAATTGCATTTTTAACTACGAATTTTGACAACTCAACTTGACTCGACTTGACAACCGTTCAATGTAACCTACAATAATTTAAACATAACCATTACAATATAATTACATTTATAACTAGTTTAGTTTGTTTTAATCAATGCAACCAATTTTGGTTCCGTATTAACCAACCAAACCCCTAAACTTGCAACGTTGCCGCAGTCCAGATAAAAAAAATTAACTTTATAAATGGAGAAAATGTAAAATTGCATTTGTCAATATGAAACAATACAATTTATTTAATAATGCATTTTGTCTTTAAATTATATAACAATTTTGTTTTCACTTGGAAAGATGACATACGTTTTTTGTTTAAAACTTTCCCTTCATTAATTTTAAAATGTGCACATTAATTTTAAAATTTTAAAATGTCCATGCAACAGGTTTTTATGATATTATGATAACAAAATAATTTATATTAATATTTATAGTTATATGTATATCTAGATGTAAAATTTTTATATTTTGACGCCCAACTATAGATATACATTTATATTATAATATTTAAATTCTTTTATCTCCACGCGGTCTATAATTTAAACTTTATTGTTGTCAACATTCGATAAAGAAATACCTTGTTATGGCTTAGGCCGATAAAAAATTTTATGAGGCAAGTCATTAGTTTGATTTTTTCTCGCTAGGGGTATTGTTTTGACAAATTAATCCCTTTCTAAGAAATTAACGTACTAAACTGGTTTAATTTAAGTATTTATAATAAGCACTAATTGTTTTACTGTTAATGTTTAATATTTTTCATTAAATTATTGTAAAATTAAATATGAATAATAAAACAAAAAGTGAGGTTAGGCAACCCAGAAAACGTACGATTCTTTTTCTACGATTTAAATTATCTTTAAGTTTTAATTTGTTTTAAGTTTTCAGTGAAATAAATGTTAAACACAGCTTAAACATTCCAAACTACCTATTTTTTAAATAAAAATCCAAACAAATTGAAATTAGATACCTACCTATTTATTAAACAATAAATTGAATTCAATGTAATAGCAAAAATCCATTTCTACTTAAATCAAGTAGCTAGGTATTGTCAAACTATTACTGCTTCTAAAAGCAATAATAATTATTGTACATTTAATGTAATCTTTAGCTAATAAATAAATGAGATTCTAAAAAAGTGAGGTTAGGCCGCTTTGATGTTGAATTAAATTGACCCATGTAAAGTGCTTTGAAGATAAAATGTTGTATGCCATTCGGCCAAGAAGTGCCTTTTTGTGCTTCGCTCAATTGTAGGCCTCCGCTACGCGCTTCAAACCTTGAGCTTAGCACAAAAAGCCTTATGACATAAATAACTATTTTTTTGTTACCCATTATTAACCTACATTGGTTAGCACTAGCACTTTTTGCATTTATAAAATATCATTATGAAATTTTAACACGAGGTTTATACCTACTTATATTAATAATTTTAATTCATTTGAATCAGTAGCGGCAAAAATACAGGTTTAGCACAAACAACACGTAATTTATTGGGTTTAACACTCTGGGTTCTTAGTTATTTAAAATGTTAACAAAATATATATAAAATAATGTAAACTCTAATTTTTTTTATTTTGTTACAGAAACCAAACAAATTGTTAAAGGCGTTTCGGGTAAATTCAAATCTGGAGAGCTTACAGCGATTATGGGGCCCTCAGGGGCTGGAAAAACATCTTTACTGAATATATTGACTGGTTTTCAGTAAGTACTTGTTAAAACATTTTTATTACGAACTTATGGTTGTCATCAAATATCACTAGATAATCACGTGTTGCCGGATCTTCTAGACGAAAATGACAGATTGATCATTTAGGTTGGACACAGTCGCATGTGCATGTGTAATAGTATTAAACACAAACAAAAAACGTAAAAATCCCTATTTAATAATATAATAATTATTGTGTAAACAACGTGTGAACAACGCTTTTTTACCACTTAATTGGTTATCGAAACACAAATAATATTGCAACGACTGTATTATGTAGATAGATAACCATTTTTGCTATGCTCACGACCTTTAACCCTATCCTAGTTTTGGTTTTGATAAAAACCGACACATCTGAAAACCTACTGACATTGTACAAATATTGTTATCTAATCGGGAAATATACAGGGTGTGCGTTTTTCAAGTATGCCAAAAATTTAATAGTAGCTTTCTAAACTGCCGAGGTAAGATAAGCAAGATACCCACATGGGTAAAGCTAAGCATGGCCTTGAAAATGGACACCCTGTATATATTTCAGTAAAAATACCATATACCTACCTATAACTATAGGTAATTATAGGTATATGAAAAATACTGATGTTTAGAATTATAATTCGTAAAATTTTATACAGCATAGGTTAAAATAAGTTTGATCAAAATATCCATTTTAAAAAATGGTTTTTTTTTTGACATTTTCGTTAAAATATTAAAAAAAGCTCGAAATCATTGTAGGTAACTGTAAAATTACAGGTCACTGTTGAATAAAGTCGTACACATAACCTATAATGTCAAAGTTAAGATTATTTACCTATGATTATTTCCCTCATTATAATATGAACCAATCAAAAGCCTTGAATTTTCGAATAAATTTCGTTTAAATAAGCGATTAATATAGAATATGGAGGCTAAAATTTAATCGCTGTTAAATAGTCTATTTAACAGCGATTAAATTTTAGCCTCCATATTGGATTTTTGTTTACGATTTTATGATGTTATTTACAAGTTTTAACAAACATTTTTTAAAAAACAATAAAAAATAAGTTATATAGTTTACGAAATTTCAATTTAATTTAAGAGAAATTCGAGAAATAATCTAGACGTATATCACTCAACCTATAAATTTAATTTGTCAAACTATAGCATATATGCTCAGTAAGTTTTTTATTTGATTTTTCTTTTTGGAAAATAGTTTCATGCAAAATAATTAAAAATAAAACCCCTCGACCGCTACGCGGTCTCGTGATTTTATTAAATTATTTTGCATTCAACATTTTCCAAGAAAAACCAAACAAAAAACTACTGAGCCTAGTTTAACCGATTAAATTCATAGTTCTCGTGATATAATATATGAAAATTTTTCATTTCATTGAAAAATACCTCTAGGAGAATTTCAATGTAATTACAAACCTATAGGTTTGTAATTACATTGAAAAAATAAATCGATTAATAATTCTGTACTTGAGTAGTTATAACTACTTAAGTACAGAATTATTAATCGATTTATTTTTTTTTGTAAAATACCTTTACAGTATTTTTTGACATAGTGTACAGACTTTTTCTACATGTATAACGGAAAATATTTATAAATAAAACTCTTCAATTAATATTAACCATTAGAAAATAATTTGTTTACTTATTTGACATAATTAATAGGTAGCTGTTAAACTTAAGTGTTTTTCTATTTTTACTTTCAGTCAAAACACAATTTTTCCATATTTTAATTTATTATTATATTCCACCAGAAAAATATTTACTTACGCTTAAATTAATATTAATTAAAAATAATTTATTTGTTTATACTTTTAAAATATTTAATTGGTTTATGACCAACTGCCGGCTTGCGATTTATTTTTTATAAGGTCAATATTACTAATGTTCAATGTTAACAACCTTTTACAACTGCATTATTTTTCAATACAAAAACTCTACTTATGGTCAATGGACTATAATGAGTAGTCAATCTGTCGAAAAAACCTTAAAATAAACCCTTGCTTTTAGAAAATCTGGTACCGAAGGAACCATAAAATGTACAGGCGGTTTAAAAACGAAAAAAGGCGCTCTGCAGTACAAAAAAGAATGCTGTTACATCCTGCAGGACGACCAGTTGGCACCCCTGTTCACCGTGGGGGAAATAATGAACATTGCTGCCAACCTGAAGCTCGGAAATATCACCGAAAAAGGGAAACAATTTCTGGTAAGTTTTAATTTGGCCATCAAATTTTCATGTGTTGATCTTTCATCCTTGAACTTGTATTGATTACGAAAAAGTTCGGATTGTTCGTTTTTGACATTGGAAGTTAATCGTTAATTTTATGAATAAATCAAGTTAAAAAGCTCCGTACAATGTTCAAGGTACAAAAATCGTACATTTAACATGATGCGTGGCACCAGATAATTAAACAATGGAATAATATTAATATACAGGGTATAATTGGAGAAGTGAAGCAAATTTGAAATTGATTTTATTTAATAAACTTGATTTTTGGGGGGGTTTGTAAAATAAATAATTAATTAATTAATTATTAATAATAAAAATAATTTTGGTATCAGGAATATTATTTTGTACAGGCACTTCAGGGACACCTTGAACATATTATATTTCATCAGAAATATTAAATAAAATTATAAAAATGTTGCCAATAAATTTATGATTATAATAAAAAGAACAATTAAAATTAATTTTGTTAAATTCCAGTTTACTTATGTAATTTGTTTACTGTAACTTTAAAATATACATAATTATGCATAAATTTATGTTATTTTAAGTATTTTATACATAAAAATTCTCGTTTTGGAATTTTTTAATTAATTTAAACTTTACAGACATTTTTTTAGAAAAGGATTTTACTTATATTATTATTTAAATTAAAATTACAAATGTTTTAAGGTCATTTATCAAGATTTAAAACATTTTTATAATAAACAAAACAATTTTTAAACAGTCATAAAATAAATCTAGCAACCATGTCCTTAAAAACTATAGTTTGACAAGTAATTTGTTACATTACTTCACATTTTGTAAATTTTTTTTCGCATAAACCTCATCCAGTAGCTATTAATAATAGCTTTGTTCGCGGAGCTGATCCGTGATCAATCCGCGACAACTGCGCATGCGCACTGGCAATTTTAGCGTTCGCGGTGTAAAAATCGGCAACATTTGACATTTGATCACTCGTTCGCGGAGCCTTCGGGACCGGTTTCGAACTAATTACTGACAAGTCAAAACGATCCGAGGATTTTAGCATGTACTAGCTGTCAGACATGCGTATTGTTCATTATTGCTTAAAGTTTATTTTAGGTTATATGTTCTATATTGTTTTTAATTAAATTGTTAAACGAAAACGTAAGTTGAAATACTTATTTTTTACTTGTATTGTTCATTCCTTTGCTTATTTTATAGATAAGTGATTATCTATCATCCAGTGATGAAGATTTAGAAAATAGTTTAGATTTAATTGAAGTTCCTAAAAATACTGCATATTTTGAAGATCAGCTATTTAGGGAGCATTTTCGAGTTAGCAAAGAGATTGTTGATGATTTAGCAGAGCGATTTAGCAATTCTGAATACTATAATTATCAGGAAGGAGATTCCCCAAAAAGTTTTGTCACAAAACAGCTGACTGATGGTTGCGTTTAGAAACGCGTTCGCGGAGATTTGTTAATTCTTGATCGGTTCCGAATCGCGCATGCGTACCATGGTTCGTGATTATTTACCCTATACAGATACGGAACTAGTCATGGATGGGCTCCGCGAACAAAGCTAATGTTAATGTTATAAATAAATACATGGTTATTAACCTTAAAGGTGGGTCCGTAATAAAACTTTATTTAAATAATATCTATATTTTATCTACTACATTGACGAGCTGTGACTTTATGGCGTTTTAGTCACGGGCTAAAGTTAGCAACAAGGTCTTTTGGGAATTTTAGTCACGGGCTGAATTTGGCTTTATTATAAATTAGGAAAAAGTGAGGTTAAGTCCGTTAAAGGTGACAGATGTCAAATGTTTAACAAATAAAATTGGCTTTAAATTCTTATTTTTGTTCGTCTTAGATAAAGTAAAGGTTCGCTCGAACCCAATAAAATCGTAATTAAAATGGCGTACAAAAAACTGATCGATTTTTAAAAAAGTTTTAAATGTTCTATATAAATGTCAAGGTTTATAAATGCTTAGTAAATAGCTAAATAATGTAAATTTTAAGTTTAAAATCTTTTTTTATTATTTCCTTAAAATTATTATGATGAATTTTTATGTAAAAATAAAATACATCAGAACAACAATTTAAATAGTTATGCAGTTATGCAAAACATGTTAATCATTAAAAATTAATTCTTGCAAATTATTTAAATTGTTGAAAATTCTTCCAGATAGATGAAATCTTGAAAACCCTTGGACTTTCAATGTGCTACCAAACAAGGTGTAATCGTTTATCTGGCGGTCAAAAAAAACGACTATCGATAGCGCTCGAGCTAATAGACAACCCGCCCATCATGTTCTTGGACGAACCCACAACGTAAGAAAACCTTTTTTTTTTATTTCGACATCTTAACCAACACTCGTTTTAGCGGACTGGACAGCCTGTCGTCCTCGCAATGCGTGCAGATGCTGAAAAAACTCGCCCGAGAAGGCCGAACCATAATCTGCACCATCCACCAGCCCAGCGCGTCCATTTACGAACTGTTCGACCACGTCTACGTCATGGCGCAAGGCCAGTGCATCTACCAGGGAGCGAGCGACAACACTGTGCCCTACCTATCCTCGGTGGGCTTCAACTGCCCCCAATACCACAACCCCGCCGATTACCGTGAGCTCGGTTTTTCGCAGATTCGGCAACGTTGCTGAATCGACTGGCAACGTTGCAAAAATTGACTTGGCAACGTTGCTAAAGTCGACTTGGCAACGTTGCAAAAGTCGACTTGGCAACGTTGCAAAAGTCGACTTGGCAACGTTGCAAAAATCGATTTGGCAACGTTGCAAAAATCGACTTGGCAACGTTGCAAAAATCGACTTGGCAACGTTGCAAAAATCGACTTGGCATCGATGCAAAAATCGACTTGACAACGTTGCAAAAATCGACTTGGCAACGTTGCAAAAATTGACTTCGTAACGTTTCAAAAATCGAATTGGCAACTATGCAAAAATCGATTCGGCAACGTTGCAAAAATCGACTTGGCAACGTTGCAAAAATCGACTTGGTAACGTTTCAAAAATTGACTTGGCAATGTTGTAAAAATCGACTTGGCAACGATGCAAAAATCGACTTGGCATCGATGCAAAAATCGACTTGCAACGATTCAAAAATCGACTTGGCAACATTGTAAAAATCGATTCGGCAACGATGCAAAAATCGATTTGGCAACGTTACAAAAATTGACTTTGCACTATTTGAGAACATTGCAAAAATCGACTTGGCAACGTTGCAAAAATCGACTTGGCAACGTTGGGAAAAATCGATTTGGCAACGTTGTAAAAATCGATTTGGCAACGTTGTAAAAATCGATTCGGCAACGTTGCAAAAATCGATTCGGCAAAGTTGCAAAAATCGATTTGGCAACGTTGCAAAAATTGACTTCGCAACGTATCAAAAATCGCCATGAGAACGTTTCAAAAATCGACTTGGCAACATTGTAAAAATCGATTCGGCAACTTTGCAAAAATTGACTTGGCAACGTTGCAAAAATCGACTTGGCAACGTTGGGAAAAATCGATTTGGCAATGTTGTAAAAATTCACTTTGTAACGTTTCAAAAATCGAATTGGCAACTATGCAAAAATCGATTCGGCAACGTTGCAAAAATCGACTTGGCAACGTTGCAAAAATCGACTTGGCAACGTTTCAAAAATTGACTTGGCAATGTTGTAAAAATCGACTTGGCAACGATGCAAAAATCGACTTGGCATCGATGCAAAAATCGACTTGCAACGATTCAAAAATCGACTTGGCAACGTTGCAAAAATCGACTTGGCAACGTTGGGAAAAATCGATTTGGCAATGTTGTAAAAATCGATTCGGCAACGTTGCAAAAATTGACTTCGTAACGTTACAAAAATCGATTTGGCAACGTTGTAAAACTTGATTCTGCAACGTTGCAAAAATCGACTAGCCACGTTACAAAAATCGATTTGGCAACATTGTAAAAATCGATTCGACAACGTTGCAAAAATCGACTTGGCAACGTTGGGAAAAATCGATTTGGCAACATTGTAAAAATCGATTCGGCAACGTTGCAAAAATCGATTCGGCAAAGTTGCAAAAATCGATTTGGCAACGTTGCAAAAATTGACTTCGCAACGTTTCAGAAATCGCCATGAGAACGTTTCAAAAATCGACTTGGCAACATTGTAAAAATCGATTCGGCAACTTTGCAAAAATTGACTTGGCAACGTTGCAAAAATCGACTTGTTGGGCAATGTTGGGAAAAATCGATTTGGCAACGTTGTAAAAATCGATTCGGCAACGTTGCAAAAATCGATTTGGCAATGTTGCAAAAATTGACTTCGCAACGTTTCAAAAATAGACTTGGCAGCGCAGCAAAAATCGACCTGTCAAACGTTGCAAAACAACTTGGCAACGTTGCACAAAAAAAATCGACTTCGCAACGTTGCTTCGAAAACCAAAATTGACTTGGCAACAGTGTTTAATGGATTTTTTTGTTTCAGTGCTCGAAGTGGCCAATGGAGAGTACGGGATTGTGACGGATATGTTGGCCCAAGCGGCTGTGGAAAAAAATTGGAGGAAAGTCGCAAAACGTAATGGATTTTTTTGTTTGATATTTTTTATTGTTTATTTTTTTTTAGTTGAAGAAGAAGAACGTAATAACAGTATAGATTTGGATATTTATCCTGCTGATAGTCATTCCACAAAACAGTATACTCCCCCTTCAGAGTTTAAGAAATTTTTTATTTTGTTAAGAAGGACCTTTTTGCAAATCTACAGAGATTGGGTAAGAATATTTTAAAATTATTTAAAAAAAAAACACCTATATTTGGCTGTTTAGTAAAAGACCAAATTGCACAAGTTAATTAAACAAATAACATGCTAAACAATTTTGTTTGTTACAAATTGCCCAACATTTTTTAAATAAATAAATTAATATCTACACATTATTTAGAAATTATTTAAATTAAGTTTTAAATTTGGACTTTATTTATTGAATATTTTATTGTGTTTTAGACAATTTCACACCTTAAATTAGTTCTACACCTGCTAGTTGGCATCTTTTTGGGAATATTCTTCCAAAACGCCGGACAAGACGGTTCAAAAACCATAAACAACCTAGGCTTTTTGCTAGTAAGCACTGTATACCTATGCTACACATCGCTAATGCCCGCCGTCTTAAAATGTAAGAAATAAAACACGTACAAATCGAATTTTTCACTCAAAAACGTTTTTAGTTCCCTCGGAACTGGCGATATTGAAAAAGGAAAGATTCAACAACTGGTACAGCCTGAAAACCTACTACGCGGCGTTTCTGGTGTCGGACATCCCGATGCAGATTATTTTTTCGCTTGGTTACACTCTGACGTCGTATTTTCTCAGCGGGCAACCCTACGAGATATCGCGGTTCCTCAGAGTCCAAGGTATTCTGGCTCTAGTCAACCTCGCCTCATCCAGTCTTGGAATTCTTTTGGGCACTCTGGTCAACCCCATTGTGAGTATCTTGTATTTTGGTTAATGTTGGTTTTAGAGAAAAAGTTGTTAGTGCAATATTGTAGATGATTGAATTTTGAACAATTTTGTTATTTATAGTTTTTCTCTAGGTGTAATAGTTTTTAAGATACGAGTTGTTGAAGTTTGAAGTAATGGCGATAATTTAATGTTTTATTTTTCGGTATATTTTAGTTAATATTTATTTGTTTTTTATGTTTAATACAAACAATTATAGATAAATAATTATTCTTTAAATTGATATTTGCTAAAATATCACAACATTAAAAAATCACAAATATTTGGCCTGAAAGTTCATGATACATTTTTTTTACACAAATAAATATCTGTAAATATCTCTATAAATATCAGTTTTAGAGGAAAAGTTACTTTGGCAACATTGTAGATAATTGAATTTTTAACAATTTTGTTATTTATAGTTTTTCTTTAAATGTAATAGTTTTTAAGATACAAGGTGGGGAAGTTTGACCTAATGGCGAAGATTCAATTTTTTTAATGACTTCTTATTATTTGGAATATTTGAGTTAATATTTATATTTTTTTTTGTTTAATACAAACAATTATAAATAATTATTTCTTAAAGTGATATTTGCTAAAATATTACAACATTAAAAAATCAAAAATTTTTGGCCTGAAAGTTTATGATAAATTTTATTTTTACACAAATCAGGAAATATCTGTAAATATCTCGATAAATATCAGTTTTAGAGGAAAACTTTATAAGTGGAATACGAGGTTTTGATAAATAATACAGGGTGTTATGTAATTAATGTTATATATTAAAATACTGAATACCTTTTGACATAAGGAGTAAAGGAAAAATATTTAAAAAAATATTTTTCCAAAGATAAAGAAAAAATAGGCATTTGAAGTTTTTTATATTTTTTGTGATACACACTTGTGTTCTGTGAGTACATAGATACCAACCAACAAAGTAGCTGCGCGTTGCCAGATGTAAAAAATTGTTACTAAAAATTTTTCTTGCAAAAAATAAATAAAAACTCAATAAAAACAAGTTTTATGCCCTTAAATCTCTAATTATCCTTTACTCATCCAGCTATTAGCTTAAGCAATGATTATAAAATTAATTTAGTACCTATTTTAAAAAATCCATAACCACAAAATTAATTTTTCCCTCGGTTTTTTTCTTTCTGTTTACTCAGATGAAATTGGGACCAGTTCACAGGTTAAACTTTAAACCTTTAATTTATGTAAATAAATCCAAAAGCACTTCCCTTAGTTAAAATATTTACAATAACATAACCTAAAATTTGAAAGAAATGCACTAGATTCTGGCATAAAAGTTGTTAGATTTAGTTTGAATTTACCTTCAGTACAAAAATGACATAACCAACAATTAATAAAAACGCCAAATTGACAATTTGCATTGTTAATTTTATCATTTTTGTAATTAAGCTAAATTTAAACAATGTTTGTCAACTTTTTTGACAGAATTTGGAAGCTGTTGTTACCAACCAGGGTTACAAACCATAACATAATAAATTAAATTAGGCAACCAGATTACCCCAAAGTTCCTAGTCGATCAGTGGCGTACTTTTTGGTAGGATAAAGGTTATTATAAATTATTTTTAGTCTTTGGAATTTAGAAAAAAAAAAGTTTCAGGTGCTTCTTTATGGACCCTAAGGAACAACCCATTTTAATATATAACATTAATTACATAACACCCGTATAATAATAAATATTTTAAATAATTAAAAAAAATTAATTTCTTTTTAAAATGGTATTTTTTCATCTTTAAAAAGACCCAAAGTTCAAGAAAAGAATTATTTGTCAAAATGTATCTTTACATTAAAACTGCTTTAACTTTTTTAGTTTTATGGCTAAAATAATTTGCGATACATCATTAGAAAGAGAATTTCACATTTTTTAACTTATTTTCAGAATGGTACATTTTTGGGGGCAATTTTGTCGTGTTTGATGCTATCAGTCGCTGGTTTTCTGGTAATCTTCACGCACATGTCCAGCGTAATGTACCTCTTAACGTATATTTCCTATCAATCTTTTGCTATGGAGGGAATGGTGCAGGCGCTATACAGCTTCGATAGGGCCCCTCTGACGTGCCCTGATGACGTCGAATACTGTCATTATCGCTTCCCCAAGCAAATCTTGACGGAATTCGGGATGGAGAAGGATAACTATTGGGTGGATGTGGCATATTTGTTGGGGAATTTCGTTGTTTTAAGGTTGATAGCGTTCTGCACGCTAAAAAAGAAACTTTCGGCGAAATGATTAGCGGGCGCGGCTCTGTCGCCAATTTCTGCATTGTGATATAAATTTTAGTAGGCCTACTTATTGTATATAGTTTTTTACTATTGTTAAAGTTTAGTTTTGAATGGATTTTTTGTATTATTTATGCTAGAATTACTATTTGTATTTATTGCTGGATAGGAAAAATGCATTATTGTAGTTAAATTTTCGTCTTTGGAAAGTGCTATTTAAATAAATTATGTTTGGAAATACTTTATTGTTTTATTTACTAGGTGAATAGAAACATCTACAGGATGTGTTTTGGGAAACATTGATTTTTATTTTACAATTTAAAAAAAGTAGCAATCAATATCTTAACATTATTTTATTTAAAAAGAAATCCTTTATTACAGAAAAAAATAAAACTAAATTGAATTAATAGTATATTATGTATCAAGTTTGATAAACGCCATTTTATACACGAATTTAATTTAGGCACGAGCGAGCTTGCGAGCGAGTGCTTAAGTTAATGAGTGTATAGAAAAGTTTATAAACGAGGCGCATACTATACTTTTTCTACGACAAATACTTATTATTATCTTAAAATGATTTAAATCAAAAATTTGTATAGAGCGCCATCTATGAAACAACAGGGGAAACTGTCAAATGTCACATTTTTACATTTTATAAACACAATTATAAGGTTATAAATCGAAATGTATCTTAAAAATTTACAGTTTTTCACAGTGAAAGTAAAGGAAATGTTTTATGAGGACTTTACAGTAGAGTCCGTGCCCGAATTTAAGTTTTGCCGGCAATATTAAAAGGTCAGTACAATGTTCATATAAACTTTTCAAATACTGGCATTGAGAAACTATTTAATATTTTTTGTATTTTTGTATTGAGATAATAAAATAATTTTCACATTTAGTATTATTTTACAAGAAAGGCACTTTATTTTAACGATTGTATCACATTTGACAACTGTCAACTAACTTAAAACTAACTTCAGCCCGTGACTAAAAACCTGTTGCTAACTTCAGCCCGTGACTAAAGCGCCGTAAAGCCACAACTTGTCAATGTGTATTTAAAAGGTCACTTAGTGTCATGAAAACATGTACGATAGATAAGGGCGTTTTAAAGGTGGGAGTAGAAAAATTGATTTAAGAAAATACAAGTAAAGGTTAAATACACTCACGGTTGGGTCTTTTTTGCAAAAAGGAATCTATTGAAAATATCCAATTATACAATAATGAATTAAAGTTAAATTACAAAATTATAATTTTATAAATGTTATTTTATAAGTGTTAAATAAAACGAAAGTTATGTAAATACAGCACCAATTATGTTCCCCAATTTTTACATTTTTTACCGAAAAAAACGTATTTTCCATATTTTTCGTTATCGATAAAGTAAATAATAGTAATCCCAGAGCTTTAAAATATTAGTTTAAATTATTGAAAAAAACTGTCGATAAGATTAGATTTTTTGTGTAGGTATCTGATAATTAGAGATGGGATTTTAGTGTATTTGTCTACGCTAATCATAACCTTAGGTGCAATGGAATAAAATCCGTTTTGAAGAAAATGATTTCATTTGAGCCTGATTTTATTTTACCTATTTTACCTAAATTTTCATTTTTAAGAGAAATGGACCTAATTTTTACATTTTACTACCTAAACTAGTGTAATTTTACCTATTTCACCTAAATTCTTATTGTTAATAAATTAACAAAAATTTTTAATTTTACCATCAAAAAACATAAATTTTTCAAATCATAAAATTCTTTTTTAATTTCAATTTTATACAATAATAAATTTATATATTTTACCACCACAAGTTTCCAGTACTTATTGTCGTAAAGTACGTACCTAATTTAAGAATTTTCTCACCTAAAACAAGAAAAAACTTGACCTATTTTTAAATATTTTGCAACCTAAAATCCCATCTCTACTGATAATTGATACTAATCGTAAAAGTAAACTTTCTGTACAAAATAATAAAATAAATTTAAGTAAATATATCAGTGTGTTTAAAAAGATTGAAGAAAATAATTATATACTAAAATGACTATTACTTATACTAGTGAGGTGACTACAAGTAAAGGAATAAGTTGTTTTTTAAAATTACTATTAAGGTGACTAAAAAATAATTAAAATATTTTTTATATGCTGTAATATTCAATTAATTTTAGATGGAAAGGTAGTATATACAAAATAGTATGGGCAGATTTACTCATATTTCTACTTATATATTACTCCCTGGCATGCTCATATGTTTTTTGCCCTGATGAATTGTACAAAGAGTATGTAAAAAATGTTTAAAAATATATTTTTGTCAAGCAAAATAATTATTAACAAAAAAGAACGTTATTATTTAAATACTCATTACTAAACCATTATGTGCATTTTGAGCATATAAAAACAAAAAAAATAATTGTAGGTACTTCACAAAAGCAGTAAAATACTGCAGAGAATATGGCAGTATGATCCCACTAAGTTTTGTACTCGGTTTCTATGTATCTTTGGTGATGACAAGATGGTGGAGCCAGTACTCAACCATACCCTTCCCCGACAATCTTGCCATTTTAGTGGGGGCTATAATCAAAGGACAAGTAAGAAATTCACCACCCAAAAACCAATTTAAAAAAGCGGCATTTTGTAGAACGAAAGGGCGAGAATAGTTAGGAGGACTGTGGTCAGATATGCGTGTGTTTCTTTCACGATAACTTTAACGTTAATGTCGCCAAAAGTTAAAAAACGGTTTCCCACGTTAAATCATTTTGTCGATGCCGGATTGATCACGAAGGAGGAAAAACAAATAATGCAAGAGTTGGATACTGAGTACCCAAGCTATTCAAAATACTGGTAACAATAATTTTTGGTGCAATTGTGGTAAAGAAAGTACCGGTCAATGGGGTGAATATAAATAATCCAATTCTTTTTTATAAATAAATGAATTCTATTCACCCCGTTTTTAGTACAACTTTATTTTCTTTTGTACCTACTTTTGTATTGCACAATCATGACATGTTTAAGGCTTCCTCTGGCGTGGGCTACAAGCATTGTAACCAGAGCAAAACATGAGGGTTTAATATTGGATAATGAAACCATGGTGACAATTATAGAAGAACTGAACCTCTTTAGAACTAAATGCGGCGGCATGCTTGACTACGATTGGATAAGTGTCCCTCTAGTGTACACTCAAGTAAGTAACATAATTTTTATGTTTAATCTTTTGATGCAAGGATCTTAATCACTTGTGTGCCACAAGGTAGCGTTCTGTGACCGACACAATTTATCTTTAGGTGGTAACACTGGCTGTGTATAGTTACTTTGTGACCAGCGTTTTTTCCAATCAATATATTGAAGGATTAGACCAGAATGTTTTAATTTATTTTCCCATATTACCGGTATTGGAGTTTTTCTTCTACATGGGTTGGTTGAAAGTTGCAGAATCATTGATAAATCCTTATGGGGATGACGATGACGATTTCGAGGTCATGTGGATGATAGACAGACATGTTCAAGTATAGTTTTTACATATTTTTGTTTAGTACAAAGATTTCCATTTATCTAAACTATCTAACTATGGCTGAATTTTAAATTTCATTCAAACAAAGCAATTTTACAGAGATACACAATGTTAAATATAGTTTATATTCTATATATATAATATATTATTATGCCTAGACAATAATTCGCTATTTTTCCTGTTTCCATTAAATTTGAATTACAACATTATTTTTCTTAGGTTTGCTATTTATTGGTTGACAAAATTCACCAACAGCACCCAAAATTAATGAAGGATGCCTATTGGGCAGAAACTGCACCAAACAGTTTACCTTATACAATAGCATCACAAAGTTACATGAATGGTGGTAGAACTGAATCCACCAAAAATATTACTGTGAAAGCAAATGAATTGGATTTGCTGATACCAGATTCAAAGGATGAGGTAAAAATATTATTTCCTGTATTTTTATGCTGTCCATAAAATATCTACAAAAACTACCACTGACCCTAATATTTTTTTATTTTAGGTTGAAGGAAGATACAATAGAAGTAAGTAAAAAATATTTAAAAAAAAATTATTATTTTGTGAATATTTTAGATTCAACTGCTTTGGATAGTGTTAGAAATTTATTTGGTAGAAAAAGAGTAAGGGGTATACCATTAAAATCAGTATCACACAATACTGATAGACCTGAGAGACTGCAAAACATACCTGATGTAATACAACAAATTCTTAAAATTACTTTGACAAAAACATTATTTTTTTTAGCTAAATGATTATCTAGAATCTGATATTACAAATCCAACCAAAAATTACGATAATTATTCCGCAGAATACGAAAAGTTAAAGAAACAGCGCCTAGAAGCACACAAACAAAAAATCCTAAAATATCTGGAACTCATCAAGAGTAAAGATTCAGCCGAACAAGAAGAAATCTTACACAGCATCAATTAATAAAATACCATTGTAAAAATAAAAATAAAATATATTTCAGTTGCCCATCATAAAAATACTTATCAAAATTTATACTTATTTAAGCGGAGCTTAAAAGTTCAGCTGGCTTTCCTGTTTTCTTGATGACATCAAGAATTTCCTCAGCACTTAGACTTGCCTTCACCTTAACTTCCTGGTTTGGCAGGCTCACATCAATTTCATCAACACCCTGTCCTGTAAAAACAACAAGGTTAAAAACAAACCTTTATAAGCAAATAACAAAAAAATAATTGCTTTTAATTTATTAATTATGATAATGACAAATGAATAATTAATAAAACAAACATGTTTTTTATAAAAATTATGAATTATTCATAAATTTGTCTATAACAATCATATCTGATAAATCATCATAATGAATCATGTGAAATTTATGGATAAAATTAATTCTTATCAAAGTAACCACTTTACACCAACGATGGTGCCTTAAGTACATTATTTACCACAACTAATTAATGCTTAATAGAATAATTACCTTTTAATTTACCCAAAACTCTTTCGATTTGCCCGGAACATCCCTCGCAAGTCATAGTAACTTTAAATACATGAACTTTGCTCTAAAAACATTTATATCATATTTATAACGTGAAAAATACTAAATATCAATGTAATTAATGCATACTTACGTCTGACATAGTGATTTGTAATTTTTAAACGGCTTCTACAAAAATGCAATGCGATCGACGTGTTTTGACAGATGTAGTTCGTTTGAACTACTTAGACAGTTTAGGCAATAGAATGAAATTAAATTAAGACTTTTTTTAATTTTAAAGTAATGTTTTTTAATAAAACATGTAAAACTATATTAAAAATAATAAGTTTATAGAATGTTTAAAATAAAATATATTTCATTATTTTGTTTATATTTATTTTAATGTAAATTTAATGGATATTTTTGTTGGCAACCCTGTAGTAGTTCAAATGCATAAATTTTATCTAAATACGAGGGGTGTCAAAAAATTTAGTTATACAGGGTGGTATCGAATTGATTTAAATGTTATTTGAAACAAAACTTTTGTTGTTGTTACAAAAGTATATTATTATACGAAAGATGATTATCTTGAGTGTAATAATAAGCTTTCTCTACTAGTAATTTGTACTAATATTTTTTTATATTATTACCTCGCATTCTCCCGATTTTAATGATCATTATAGTCGCCCCTACTTTATATAAAAAAAATCTGTGTTAAAAAGTTCCAACTTTCCTTTTTGAAAGTTGTTCATTATTTCCGCTGCTAGGCGGTCATCATCATATACGAAAAAAACAAATATTTTGAATAATATGCATAAGAATTACAAAAAATGGGTATATTTTGGTCAATTCTAGATCAAATGTTACCGTTATTGACATAAAATGTAAATCCAACAACATTGCAAAAAATCGTAGAATTGAGGTTAGGTATCTGTCACTGATAGTAGTAGAATTGAGGTTTTTCATTTATTCTGCATTATTAAATAACATTTAAATTGTTATTGTAACTGAAATTTGAAAATATTAGAAGTTAAAAAAAATCTATCAAGTTTTTCCAAATAACATCCTGATTTATATTTTAGAATTACTTGTGCTTTCCATAACACCCTGTATACTTTTTCTTGAATAAAGCTTAATTTTCATGCATCCGTTTGTCCGTTAGTCCGTTCATCCGGGAGCGCTCTTATTGGTCCAATTGACCATATGCAAGGAATGCGGTCGTTGTTGCCAATGGTAAAAAAATAAAATTCCCTATTGGGAACATTCAATTATATTACGTTGGCTACACTGAAATTTTGAATTTCCCGCACAAACTAACATACATTCTAGTAGTTCCCAGAGATAAAGAAGGTAGTTCCAATGTTGTATAATAAATTAAGGTGCGAATTTCAAATGTGGGAATTATTATTATTTATTATTATTAAAAAAAAAAGATGTAAATTAATTTTGTTTGTGCGGGAAATTCAAATTTTCAATGTAGCCAACGTAATATAATTGAATGTTCCCAATAGGGAATTTTATTTTTTTACCATTGGCAACATCGACCGCATTCCTTGCATATGGTCAATTATAATTCGAAAATGATGACATTTTATCGGTCCGTCAAGTTTAAACTTCGTATGTCTGACGAAAAAAGTTAAAATAATTTTAACTCAGTATGTAAATACGTTCGTTATGTGAATAATGTTTTACTGTTGTCTTTATTTAAAAAAAGAAAAGACTAAAAATATTAAAACTAGAACTAAAAGACCTGCTTTTTCAAAACTATTCATTTTAAAGTATATATACATTAAAATGTATAGTTTTGAATATATTTATATTCTTTTTATATGGTATATTCACCTACCTTTAAATTTATTACACACATAATTGTTAAAAGTTACAATTGTTGACAAAATTTTATGTTACAGAGCTGGGAGTATCTTAAAAAAAGATATTAAAAGTATCTAAGATACTTTATCTTGAACACTTTTTATATTGGACAGAAAAGAAAGTATATTTAACTTAGTGACTTTGGAAAAGTATCTTGTAACTTGTATCTAAAAAAGTATCCTCGGTAAAGTAACTAAGATACTTTTCAGTGTAACTTAAAGAAAGTTGGGGGAATTCCAGAATGATTCAAAGTAATTTCGTAACCTGCAACTTGTTGAATTTTGATAATTTTATAGTTTTTATTCATACTTAAAAGTAACTTAGTTACTCAAAAGTATCTAAGTTACTTAAAAGTATCTTAGTTTCTCAAAAGTATTAGTCTAAGATCCCAAGTAAGGTCGACCTTCACCCATCTGCTTACCAGATGAAAATTATATTTTATCAAATAAAATATGTTTCTGAACATAAACCAATAGGGTTGCCATAAAAAATATGATCAAGGCTAGCTATAATAAATAAAAAATAAAAAAAAAATAATTAATTTTTTAAATTTCACCGACTTGCTTGCCAAATGAACGAAATTCCAATGGAAAGCATACAACATACATAATACGTAATACATAATATGTAACTACCTTTTTCTGGTCCCTATTACCTGGTTGCTTTGTACAGGGTGATCCCCTATAATGTCGCCCCCCTTTAACTTTTTTATTTTAAGTGTCCCAAAAAATTTAAAAGTGTGGTTATGTAGGAACTAAAAAATACTTTTTTTCTACGTATAAAGAAAATTGGAAAATTGATAAGTATACAGGGAAAACAAAAAGTTTATTTTTTTCAATGGATCACCCTATATATGAATTTATTTTTCGATTCCTTGTAAAATTCTAAGCATATTTCATATATCATACCATATACCTAAATTCAACCGTTTCTGAAATATTTAAATTATTTTTAAGATAATAAGTTGAAATAGTTTGTTTTTCTCTGTCTGAGTACGCCATTTTTACTTATTTAACAACACTTATTGACATAATGTCACTATAGTAATTTATTTTCAATAAAAATTTTGGTATACTGAGGCTTCTTGATTTCTAACAGTTTAAAAAAACATTTAATGATGACATTTCGAATGCGAATATTTCAGAAACGGTTGAATTTAGGTATATGGTTTGTTATATAAATTATGCTCAGAATTTTACAAGGAATCGAAAAATAAATTCATATATACGGTGATCCATTGAAAAAAAATAAACTTTTTGTTTTTCCCTGTATACTGATCAATTTTCCAATTTTCTTTATACGTAGAAAAAAAGTATTTTTTAGTACCTACATAACCAAACTTTTAAATTTTTTGGGACACTTAAAATAAAAAAGTTAAAGGGGGGCGACATTATAGGGGATCACCCTGTACAAAGCAACCAGGTAATAGGGACCAGAAAAAGGTAGGCAACCTAGCTGTTACATATTCTGTATGTTGTATGCTTTCCATTGGAATTTCGTTCATTTGGCAAGCAAGTCGGTGAAATTTAAAAAATTAATTATTTTTTTTTTAATTTTTTATTTATTATAGCTAGCCTTGATCATATTTTTTATGGCAACCCTATTGGTTTATGTTCAGAAACATATTTTATTTGATAAAATATAATTTTCATCTGGTAAGCAGATGGGTGAAGGTCGACCTTACTTGGGATCCTCTACTATATGTTAGATACTAGTTATTTGTTTTACAAGTGTTGAAAAGCGACTTTTTCATGCGAGTTTTTAAGTTGCCCGTTAGGCCGAGTGTGCATTAACACGAGCTTGAAGAAAGCTTTTCTCACTAGTATAACACAATGTTTTTTCTGCGAACCTTTTATTTTTTATTATTTTTAAATACAAAACAAAATAACCTAAAAACAGCTGAATGTCAAACGATGCTTTCCGGTTCTTTTCACACAGACCTGTCACTTTTCACACATAAATGTCACTTTACATTCGTGTTTTGCCTTGCCAATGAAAAGATTCATTTTCTAGGCAACGATGCCATCATGAAAAGTGACTTTTACATAGTGGTCGTAGAAAAAGATACTTTCAACTCAAAGTATCTAGTTACCTGAGGTAACTAAGTTATTTTGTTTAAAGTATCTTAGAAAAGTACCTAACTATAGTATCTATAGATACTTTTCAGAAGTAACTTTCCCAGCTCTGATTTCCCAGCATTAGGTGAATTTAGTGAATTATTATTAATTTTTATTTGTCGCCAAATCAATCCGTCAACCTTTATTAAAAAACGGATGGATAAAAATTAGAACATATCTAATAATAATTTGGCTTTTTAAAACAAAACAAGGGTCTCGTTTAAAAAACATTTATTAGGGAATTACAAGGTAAATACCATTTCAGGTGGGTGTATATTATTTACATTATAGAAACAAATTGAATAGTAAAAATAATAAGATCAAAGGTATTGAAAATGAAACATGTGGCCCTTGACAATAAAAATGTGTACCGTCAGTTGTTGAGGTAGTTGTAACGGCGAAATACTTAAAAAAAATACAAAGAAAAAAACAGTCTATGAATGAGTTTAGTCCTCGTGAATGTTAAAAAGTTTGGCGACCTCGTTGAGATTTTCGTATTTTTCTTGGGCCTTAAGCACCTGCCTTGCCGTCGACATCCTATTGAAAACGTTCCACAGTACAATGCCCACCACAATGTCGTCTTTGAGATAGAAAATGATGCCTTTGCCGAAATCCTCGCCCTCCTTCTCGTTGGGCTTGCTCTGAGCCCTCCTGATCTCCCTCAGCTCCGCGGCCTGCTGCTCGGTCAAGCTTTTGTAGCAATCCTTGGGCACCTCCTCCATCTTGGACCTGTCGCACTCGTCGGTTTTGGTGACGGCCGCCTGCGGGTTGTCCTTGAACGTGGCCTTGGCGAACACGCCCACCGTGGGCAGCGAGCTGTCCACGATGCCGATGGCCTCGTAGCCCACGTCCGGCCCCAGGTCCGACCAGAACATGCTCTGGTGGTTGTACGGCTTGGCGGCGCCGGTCATGTTCTCGCCGGCGAGTCGGCCGGACACCACGGCGTGATCGTGGTGCTCGATTCTGCGCCTGCCCAGCAGGGGGTCGTAGAAACACGAGCAGTCACCGGCCTGGAGAAAATACATAGGTCATGCCTTATGGGTTTACCAAGTAGCACAACTGGTTAAATTAACGTTAAATTTACGCTACCCTTGTGGACATTTTTTTCTGAAAAAGTTTAATAAGTAAAAATAAGTCTTACTTTCTCTTAAAAACTCTGAATAAGACTTATTAAGTTGCAAAAAGTCAAAATAGGACTTACTAAGTCTGAAAAAGTCTGAATAAGTCTTAGTAAGTCAGAATAATAATAATATATGCGAGTCTTCTGGAAGAGTTAATAAGACTTAATAAGTTAACTATTCCAGAAGACTCCCAAATTTTATTATTATTCTGACTTACTCAGACTTATTCAGACTTTTTCCGAGTTAATAAGACTTATTCAGAGTTTTTAAGAGAAAGTAAGATTTTCAAAACTCTTACTTTTACTTACTAAAACTTTTTCAAAAAAAATTGTTCGCATGCCTGGTTAATTCATTTAAGTAATATTGTATACTAGACTGGGCCAAAAAAAATTACTATTTTTTTTTTGAAAAATATATCGAGAATGTCATTCAGAATGACAAAAACAAAATTTTGTGAAAATTTGAGCCCTTAATATTAATTTTAAGAGGTCTATCATCGCTATTTTTGATTTTTAGTCATAATTTGATGTTTTACGTTAGAACTGTCAAAACATTAAAGTGAAAAAAAATCCTTTTCATTTATTTTTATATAAAATTAAATTCTCTACAAAAAAGGTCTGATTGAAAATTTTCGTCAGACGAGCCGTTTCCGAGTAATTGAGCTTAATAAATCGATATGTTTTTTCGATTTGCCCTTTTTACTTTGAAATTTTGTAACTAATGAATCAATGAATATTTAAAAAAGCTCACGTCGGATTCTTAAAAGAAATTTAATGGTCTACAAAAAAGGTCTCTTAACATTTTTGCCTAAATTTAATTCTTCAAAAGTTATTCACGAAAAAAAAATTGAAATTTTAAGTTTTTCTTCAATTTTAATCGTGAATAACTTTTGAAGAATTAAATTTAGGCAAAAATGTTAAGAGACCTTTTTTGTAGACCATTAAATTTCTTTTAAGAATCCGACGTGAGCTTTTTTAAATATTCATTGATTCAATAGTTACAAAATTTCAAAGTAAAAAGGGCAAATCGAAAAAACACATCGATTTATTGAGCTCAATTACTCGGAAACAGCTCGTCTAACGAAAATTTTCAATCAGACCTTTTTTGTAGAGAATTTAATTTTATATAAAAATAACTGAAAAGGAATTTTTTTCACTTTAATGTTTTGACAGTTCTAGCGTAAAACATCAAATTATGACTAAAAATCAAAAATAGCGATGATAGACCTCTTAAAATTAATATTAAGGGCTCAAATTTTCACGAAATTTTTTTTTGTCATTCTAAATGACATTCTCGATATATTTTTCAAAAAAAAAATAGTCAATTTTTTTGGCCCAGTCTATTGTATACTACAACCTTAAATTAACGTTATTTTGTAATAAGTGGGCAATTCAATTATGGTAAAATTAACGTTATGTTAAATAAATTTAACTTCTTGCTTAATGTACCTTTTGGTTAAAAATAAGTAAATATTTGGTAGTTTTTGGTTTATTTTACCCTTTTTTAACTACTTTCTAACTCTTAAGTCATAATTAACCGGTTTAAGTTTTTTTAACTCTAATTTACCAAATATTAGTTCCAAGGGAAAAAACAATAAGATCTTTTTTGTGATAAAGTAGTACATAAATAATAATAAATGCGCTTTAAAAAATATAGGAAATAAAAGATAAAAATTAAAAAATATTTTTTTTGCCTTTTTTTTTTAATTGATTTAAAATACTTTTAAACATAAAATAATATTATGTTTTATTATTGGTTTGTTTAATAGGGTTTCCGTTATTTACCAACTTGTTTTTTTTCACAGCGCACCCTAAATTTTTAGTTTATGACCTAAAAAAAATATCAAACTCATATAAGCCCTTAATATTCATATTAAACCTTGCCACAAAGACGATACATTTAAATAACATGGGGTTTCGGCACGTTTTACATTTAATTTTTTTTCTCTCGAGCAAGTTAATATACAGCAATAAGAGACACAAATTTTTATAGGAAATTGAACGCTGTACAAAAAAGCTACCTTATGATTTTTTGATAAATTCACTGGTTTAAAAGTTATTTAAGGTTAAAGTTAAACTTAATAGTAGTAGTAGTAATTTTTTCGATTTTTTTTTACTTTGACTGAAAAATTATCATTATATTTATGAAAATGATATTATTGAAAAAGTAAAAATTATTGAAACAGATAAGTGAAAATTATTGACAAGAGACTCCGATAAATTTAAAAAAAAATATTACATTAAATAAATCTGGTAGTACGATTACTTTTTTTACATAATCTTTTTATTTCTGTGAAAAAACTTTTTTCATCTATAGAAAGTATTGATAAAACTTTTCTAGTGATTATAATTAAGAAAATGAGAGTTGTTGATGATTTTTTAACTAACAGTAGCTAAAATCCAAAATCTAAAATTTTAAATAATTTTCTTGTCTGCGCATGTGTCTAATTGTTTTCTCTACAGCACATGCGCATTTAATAGGTATAAATCGCAAACTGTCAATAAGTTGTAGGTGATTCTTTGCAGGAACAAACCCAACGAATTTTAAATGGTAAAAAGTACCATTTAAAATCAAAAAACCTGTAAAATCAATTGAAAACAACAAAATGTACTCACTATGTACAGGCTGCTCCTAGCTTGGAGCTCGCTGTTGACCAAATAGCCCCCCAATTCGGGGTCCACCTCCAATTCGCTCTTTCCCGCCAAGTCGGTGTTTGGTTCCACGCCGACTGCTATGATAACGTTGTCAACAGTCAGGGTGCTTTTGTCGTTCAAGGTCAAAACCAGCTGCCTGTCTTTACTGCGCACACTTATCACTTCCACGTTAGTTTTCACGTTCACACCTGATAAAATATTACATTTTTTTTATACAAAACTAACTGTAAAACTTTAAGCCTAAAAATATTGATTTTTTAAAATTATACTTTAAATATTTTATTCTACAAAATTATCCGAGAAATTATCGGTTTAAATTTGTAAAGAATCATTTAAATGATTTTTAATACCAAAATTCTCACATTACATTTAAATGTAAGTTTTTTATTAAAAATTTATCGACCATCAATTAAATGACTTAAATTGATACATTTTGAACACAAAATTTTTAACTTTACATTTAAATGTAAAGTAAGATAATTTTTAATTTACAAAGTTTAAACGTAGCTTTAGAAGACGTTTGTGTTAAAAATGTATCAACTTATATTTGTTAAAAATAAAAGTTATCGGTTTAAATTTTTCTAGAGTCACAGTTGCGTCTTGACTCTCGAAGGGTAAGGATGCTTAAAGATAGTTACGCAGCTGCGTATACGATACAAACGTAGTAAAGTATCAAAGTGAATCTAAGTTTGCGGAAATACCGGTAATCGGTAATAAATAAATAAATAAATAATAATCAAACAAGTGCAACAATTGCGAAAAGGACTGTCCTCAAGTGTTTGACCTGAATAAAAGGTGTGAGAGAGATGATCAGTTCCAATGAAAATTTTCTGGGCTACGACACGTGCGGCATACGATAAGGATCAATTTTAGCACACTGCCTGGCAATATCCCGAAGTCCAAGTCTGCATAAACTAGATAAGTAGCTACCAAATTGCATGAACATGACCACCCAATAATATTAATACTAGTTAATTCGAAATACGCAACCTTTAACTAACAATAATTCTTCAGGTAAAATTAATTAGTCGCAAACAATTTAGAAAATTCTCATGCAAATGAAACAGTAAAAAAACGATAAACACAAGGGCACATAAGAAGCCATTAATCACTCAAGTTACGATAAACATTAGGCAAAAGAAACCATCCTAAAGAAATTATTTATTTATGTTTACATCTATAGATTACGAAGTCGTAAGGGGTCATAAATTAAGTAAAAACCGTTAAGTAAGCGTACGCACAGTGGGAAAAAATAAATAATTCGAGGGTCGACAATTCCGCGTCTTCCGTTCATAAATAAAGTAAAGCGTTCTAAGACCACTGGGATCATGCACAGGGGAAAAAAAAATAATTCGAGTCTCGAAAAATCCAGTAGGTTAAACGTATTTCCACATAGTCAGAGGGCAATATTACGGCGGGGTGCGGCCGGCAACACTTCGGTTCGGAAGATACGACTCAATAACGCACAGGGGGGCAAACAATTCTAAAGCGGCTATCAAGAAGTACACCATCAAGGAAAGGCGCTAGCAGCATACTAATCCACCCACCCCCATTCAGGAATACCAAATGAATGGGGTTATTACTAAAGCCCTGGTTTAGGAGGATTCCGGATTGTACTTAGTTTTGGGTCAGTTCAATGTCCTCCAAAAGCCCTTCCTAAACTGGACGTATGGCCCGACCCGGCTGACAAAAATCCCGGGAGCTGCCTTAACCTTTGACACTGTCATCCACGAACTCCTAGGGTGGATCTACCAGCCGGCGTAAAAACTTCGGATCCAACAAACACAGGTAATGCTGTGATTTGGCGGGATACGCAGGAGAACGGAAAGGGGGTAATATAACCCCGGGAGATCAGTGGATGACAATATATCTGGGGCTTGCCATACGTTCCCATACTCATACTCATACTAAATTTTTCTAGAGTCAATGATAGTCAATAATTTTTAATCCAAAAATTACCACTTTAAAATTTAAAACCAACCTTTAAATGTAATGTGAGAATTTTTGTTTTACAAATTTAAACCAATAATTTTGTAGAATAAAATATTTTTTTGATTCTTAATGGTTTTGAGTTTAAAAAAAATTAAGTTTTTAAACTATTTTGGTAAAAAATGTTTAATATGTTTTTATTTTAAATGTCTTGACACTATTTTTAAATACTAAAAAATTTAACTTTACCAATTTAATCTAAATAATTTTATAAAATATTTATTTGAGATTTAAAAAATTCTGCCCAAATAAATTATACTTAAGAAATTATTTTTATTAAAAATGATGGTTAGATATTTTTGCAAAAATTGATTGAAAATAATATTGTTTAATACAGAAGTGAACTGTTAGTTAGTAAATATTGTCTTTCAAAAAAATATTTTTTGAAAAATGTTTAATATTTTTTTTATTTTAAATGTCTTGACACTACTTTTAAATACTAAAAAAATTAACTTTACCAATTTAATCTAAATAATTTTATAAAATATTTATTTAAGATTTAAAAAATTCTGCCCAAATAAATTAACTTAAGAAATTATTTCTATTATTAATGAAAGTTAGATATTTTTGCAAAAATTGATTGAAAATATTATTTTTTAATACAGAAGTGAACTTTTAGTTAGTAAATTTTGTCTTTCAATACATGATAGTTGAAAATATTTTAAATTTATAAATGTATAAAGCTGGGCAGTAGGTAACTACAAAAATAGTTAACTACATAGTTAAATACTAAATACTTACTACCTAGTAGTTATCCTCGATTATTTTAGGTCGTAAAAAGTAGTTAAAAAAGAAGTCAATTACATGCTCTTTTGGAAGCTCTTTTTGACCAATTGGATTTTTGAAAGGCAAATCAAAATATTTAATATGAGGCCTGTCATAGCAAAACCTACAATCTCCACTTTTGGTCAAAAATTAGATTTTTGGCGAAGACTGTACTTTAACTAATTATCTATAAGATGATAAAGTTTATGTGCTGCAAAAGGAGATAAATCCTGCCTAAAATCCTATTTTAAAAATGACATTTAGTGCAAAGTCGACAATCTCCACTGATAGATTTGCAGCAAAGTATACAATCTCCAATTCCACCATTAGAAATTAGTAATTTGTGTCACCTGATATCCTAACATTTGATGTTATAACGTATTTTAGAGATTTAATTTTGTGTTTTTTTACTGGTCACATACTGTTAAGTTCTATTGCAGTAAATTGCACTTAAAAATATATTTAAAATAGGTAGGTATACATATACGTTTTATTGTTTTAAGAATTATAAAAAAGTTATCTTGTTTATTGTGTGCTATTATACCATAATAAGACGTAAAGGTAAAGCAAGAAAAGGCTGATAATGTCAAAACATTGCAAGTAAAACATTACGGGGCAAAGTGGGAAGAAGATCATGAGTTGTTGTACTATAAAAACTTTTTTGCACGAGGCAACCTGGTCCCAGATTTAGAAGAAACTCCAGATTTATGTGGTCCAGTTCAGAATTTTCCCACATTTATTGTATAGTTAAATTTTTATAACCATAGGAATAAAAATACAATTATTTTTTTGTTTATTTTTCTAAATCTCCTTAAACGTTTACAACAAAATAAGCAATCTCCAGCAATTCATATCAAAGTCAGCAATCTCCAATTTATAATTATAGATTTCACCTATACTATGCACCCTGGAGACCTTGTAGTTGGCTACTAGACTAACAACAACAATATTTCAATATAATACATAAAAAAAAATACAAATCTAGAATTTAAAATACCAAAATCAATTATCTCAATTTACTCAATTTTAGTCTGACGGGAAATTGTTGACTTTGCTGACAGGCCTCATATATTACAATGTTATTTATAATTCTGATTATATTATTAATGTTTTGTTTGTGTTTTATTTTTGTTTGTTTTGTTAAGTTCTTCCACAAAGGAACTATAAAAAATTCTCTTTTTGTTTTTTAATTTAAGATGTAAATAATAAGCATACAAATTTATTATTTCTTAACATTACTTTAAAATAAAATTAAAATAATAATAATAAAAATAATAAGGCATCTTTCATGTGTTTTATTAAATTTTATAGCTTTAACTCATTTTGTCATTTTGGTAAATGTAAGCTGTTAGAGAAAGTAGTTAAATTTTTAACTACCAACTATTTGTAGTAAGTAATCTAACTACTTTTTCGACTAAGTAGTTAAGACTCCTTTTTTAATTAAGTAGTTAGTAGTTATTTCACGCAGTTTGCCCAGCTTTGGTTAGGCAAATTTGAAACCAACAAAATTTGAAATTAAAAAATGATTTAATAAATGTTATATATACCTTCTGCAGTAACTTTATCGGTGGTCCAAAAGCTCAAGTATTCCGGCAGCACTTTTCCCATGTTGCCGCTCTCTCTGAACACCTGCACGATCTCCTTCTCGGCGTTCTTGTCTTTCCTCGCCAGGGCGCAGGCCAGCTCGCTGCCCAAAAATCCCCCGCCGATAACGGCGATCGATTTCGAACGATCGAACAGCTTGACGACCTGCTCGAAGTCCTTTATGTCCCTGTAGTATTTCACGCGGTTCGCGATCTCCTCGTCCGACGACGCAGAGTTTTCGAACACCGCCATCTTTTTTGTTTTGGCACCTAAACAACAAGTGCCAACATTCTTTTCGATTGCATTTCGTTTTATTCTATTTTGTTACTTATAGTAAATAATGAATATTTTCATTGAAAAGCTGAGCTTTTTTACAACAAAAATACAGTTTGTATTTATATTTATAAAATACCAGCCGCGTTTTAAAGAAAAAAACACAATTCGCAAATATATGTCAGGATTTCTACATATAAATTGGCAACACCGCTAAATAGTGCAAGATTTTGAAAAATATCAAGATTAATACAGGAGTTCGGTTTCGTCCTTGGTGGTGTGCGTTATTGCTCTATGAAAAAGTATTGAAAGATAAGTGACTTTGCGACCCAGGAGGGACGAGATCGGATTCCCAGGGTAGAAATACACTGGCTTTAATCAGAAATATATAAATATATGAACATATTCAAAAAAAGAAACGGATGAATTAAGATTGAAATATTTGAAGAAAACCTGTGCATATAGCCATGTGGTGCATGGTTAACGAAAATTTAACATGGTGATATAAAAAATTGAATTAACCAGTTGATAAATGATTCAAGGGATGAGTTAAACTCAGACTCTCTTAAATGAGACCCTTGATCAATAAAGAAAATTAAAAATATAATGTGCTGGCCAAATAGTGTTTAAGTACGCTGAGGCCATTAAATCTAAAGAAGAAGAAGAAGAAGAAGATTAATACCACACAAAAATGGTGTTAAAATTTCATAATAATATATATTTTTTAATAGATTTTGGCTACTTTTTAGTCCACTGTGCGTAGAGGGAATCATATTCGCATGTGTGTTTGGCGTAAGAAATTAGTGGCTGTGCATAAGTAAGAGAGATAAATCTATTGCATTTTTGAGGGTCTCTTGTTACTTAAAGTAAATACTGAATATTTTGATAAGAAAAAAACACAATTAGTAAATAGAAATAAATTGGGCAACACCGCTAAATATTGCAAGATGATTTACTGAAGGTATCTTGAAGATTTTGAAAAATTCCCATTGATTTTTTGTAAGTTTGGCAACAACGCTAGATGGTGCAAGTTGACTTACTGAAGGTATTCTGAAGGTTCTGTGAATTTTTAGGAAATTCGCAAATGTCAGGATTTCTATATATAAATTTGGCAGCAACGCTAAATAGTGCAAGATGATTTACTGAAGGTATCCTGAAGATTTCGAAAAGTTCCCAATTCTGGGATTTTTGTAAATTTGGCAACAGTGCTAAATGATGCAAGTTGACTTACTGAAGGTCCTTAGAATTTTTAGGAAATTAGGCAACACCGCAAAAAAAACGAAAAACAAAAACAAGATTTAACGGGAATTTTTAAAAATTTGGCAACACCACAAGAAAGAAAAACAAAGATAATGGGAATTTTTGAAAATTTGCCAAGTTCTGTAAATTTTTTGGAAAAAAAGACAAAAAACAATACGCAAATGTCAGGAGTTCTATATAATATAAATAAAATAAACATTACTGAAGGCACAATGAAGATTTCGAAAAATTCCCAGATTTTGTGATTTTTGTAAATTTGGCAACAACGCTAAACGGTGCAAGTTGACTTACTGAATCCTGAAGTTTGGCAACATCGCAAAATAAAGATAATGGGAAATTTTGAAAATTTGGCAACGGCGCAAAACAAATTACCACCGCTAAAAAAAAATCAAAGATAATGGGAATTTTTAAAAATTTGGCAACGTCGCAAAGAACTACCAAGTTCTGTCATTTTTTTGGAAGAGAAGCAACAATTCGCAAATGTCAGGATTTCTATATGTATATAAATTTGGCCGCACTGCTAAATAGTGCAAAATGATTTACTGAAGAGACCTTGAATATTTTAAAAAATTACCAAATTCTGTGATTTTTAGTAAATTTGGCAACAACGCTAGATGGTTGCAAGTTGACTTACTGAAGGTTCTTCGAATTTTTAGGAAATTAGGCAACACCGCAAAAACGAAAAACAAAAACAAGATTTAATGGGAATTTTTGAAAATTTGGCAACACCACAAGAAAGGAAAACAAAGATAATGAGAATTTTTGAAAATTTGAAAAGTTCTGTAAAGTTTTTGGAAAAAAAGACAAAAAACAATTCGCAAATGTCAGGATTTCTATTTAATATAAATTTGGCAACACCGCTAAACAGTGTAAGATGATTACTGAATGCAACCTGAAGATTTTGAAAAATTTCCAGATTCCGTGATTTTTGTAAATTTGGCAACAACGATAAACGGTGCAAGTTGACTTACTGAATCCTGAAGGTTCTGTGAATTTTTAGGAATTTTGGCAACATCGCAAAAAAACGAAAAACATAGATAATGGGAAATTTTAAAAAGTTGGCAACGGCGCAAAAAAATTACCACCGCTAAAAACGAAAAACAAAAATCAAAGATAATGGAAATTTTTAAAAATTTGGCAACGTCGCATAGAACTACCAAGTTCTGTAATTTTTTTGGAAGAGAAGAAACAATTCGCAAATGTCAGGATTTCTATTTGTATATAAATTTGGCAGCACCGCTAAATAGTGCAAGATGATTTACTGAAGGCACCATGAACATTTTAAAAAATTACCAAATTCTGGGATTTTTAGTAAATTTGGCAACAGCGCTAAATGATGCAAGTTGACTTACTGAAGGTTCTTCGAATTTTTAGGAAATTAGGCAACACCAAAAAGGAAAAACAAAAACAAGATTTAATGGGAATTTTTGTAATTTTTTTGGAAAAAAATACAAAAAACAATACGCAAATATCAGGATTTCTATATATATAAATTTGGCAACACCGCTAAATAGTGTAAGATGATTACTGAAGGCACAATAAGAATTCGAAAAATTCCCAGATTCTGTGATTTTTGTAAATTTGGCAACAACGCTAAACGGTGCAAGTTGACTTACTGAATCCTGAAGGTTCTGTGAATTTTTAGGAATTTCGGCAACATCGCAAAAAAACGAAAAACAAAGATAATGGGAAATTTTGAAAATTTGGCAAAGTCGAAAAAAAAATTACCACCGCTAAAAACGAAAAACAAAAATCAAAGATAATGGGAACTTTTAAAACTCTGGCAACGTCGCAAAGAATTACCAAGTTCTGTAATTTTTTTGGACGAGAACTGTGCCATGTTGACATCTCATAATAACTTGAGCGATATTTTCTCGTCCTCCAAAACAAAAACCGAAATAAATATTATGACTTTTTTACCTGTCGCCACAAGACATTTGTCGTAGCTGATCTCTTTGCCATCTTCGAGATACGCTTTTTTCTCTAAAACGTCCAACTTTGTGATTTTCCAGCCTCTGGCTACGGCAACACCGCCATTCGGTGCGTCCATCAGGTCTTGGCATTCAATGTAGAAGTCTTCAGGCTCATAGAACAAACTTGAAAAGAAAAAGATTATAATTTGATAAAACATTAAGGAAAAAAACTATAAACATTAAAAACACCTTCTTTCAGATCCATTCCACTGTTTAAAAATTAATTTTTTCACTGAATCCTTATCGTCATTAAACCAAATTTCCTTTGACAATGGGGGCCTCATGTAAGGATAATAGGCCTCTTCACTAACAACCAAAACCTATAAAAATTAAAAAAAAAAATAAAAACATTACACTATTTTAATTTTTTACCTTAGCAGTAGGTTCTGAGGATTTTATAGCCCTGAAGGCAGAAAACGAAGCTGTTCCACCCCCAATCAACAAATACGGTACTTTTTTTGGTATATCAGCTGAACTAGCCGGACTTCTAAACTTTTCTAAAAAAATAAATAAAATAATTACAATAATAAAGTTAAAAAACATTATTACCTTTCTTCTTCTTTTTTTTGACAATTTTATCACTACTGGGCTTATTAATTAAACCAACATAATAAACCTTAAAAACACAACAAATAAATAAATTATTACTCAAACAAATGTACACTTACTCCTCCCAAAGTAAGAGCAGTAAAAAGCAAGCCAAAAATCAGCACTTTTCTGTTATGTTTCCTATTTTTATTATCCTCATCTTCATAACCGCACTGAGGCCCTGGTATATCGCTCATTATGTTGGGAGTGGGGCAGTCTTGTATCGAGGGTATTTTCTATAACGTAAAACAATAAATTTTTCTCCTAATACATCTATTCTTTTTGGTATACCGATTTAGTATCTACAGGACGGGAAGGATAAAAGGAATTAACGTCAACAGCCTTACAATCCTTAATGTTGACGTTTTTGGGTATGGGGCCTTTGGGGGTTGCAGGTTCAGGTGGGTCTTTATCACATACCTTATCGTCATCTTTTTGGCTGCTGTAAAAACGACTACATGCTAGATTTTTGCCTAAAAAGAACGGCCATGTTAAAGTGAGGTTATGTTAAATTTAAAAAAACTCTATAAAAACCAAAATATTGCGTATATTTTGAAGAAAATTTGTGAAAATACTCACTTAAATTAATGCTAATAGTTTCTATTGGGGATTTTGCTGTGCATATCGACTTAATCGGAAAATTTGTCAACAAACTTGACAACTGTCTGGCTCGAAACATTTTCTTAAACGCCGGGAATTACGTAATGAAAAACGACTGGAAAAGTTCATAGATTCTTCAATTTAGCCGCATTCCATTGAATAACCATAATTCATATGGATTTTATTCAATAATAGTGCAACTTACGACTTTTTTCACTCGTCACTTATCTTTCAGTAAAACTTCACCTATTTGTCACTGGGGCATTTGATTAAAACCAAAAACCTTTTATTTAACAATTTATAACCGATAAAATATTTCAAAACCTTTCAGTATGCTAAAAAAATACTAAATAGGGCACAACAAGGTTGGGAAATTTGGAATTTTTCGAGTTACTTTGAGGTTATGTCAGCTTCAAGAATTTTAAATAAACCAATAATAACATTGCATAATTAAATATTATGGAAATTTACGCAGTTTACGTAAATTTTAATAACTATAAATTATAAAACAATGATTTTTAGTTATTAAAAAAACACAATTTATGCAACCCAGATTACAATACAGTTTTAGTATAACTAACAGGTTTAAAAAATAAATAAATAAAAATATTTGCCTAATTACTTTATCTAATAATCGATCTTTGCAATCATAATTTGGAACGTTATTTTTTACCCATTCAATGAAATAATGACAACAATAATACTTGAAAGATAAAAGATAAACATATTATAAATAGATGTTTTTAATGTGAAATAATGCAGTATTTTTAAATTTCCTCACGATGTTTTTAAAATTCATTATTTTTACTACATTTTGTAGTTTTACTTACAGTTTACCAGACCTAGTAAGTGAAAACCCAACGTAATAAAAAATATTTGCATTATTTTTTTTTAAAGGCCAGATTAATTCGTAAAAATGGGTATCCCGCAGAAACCCATACCGCGACCACTGAAGATGGTTACATCGTAACCATGCACAGGATTCCGCACGGCAAAAATTCAACCGTTTCCGGTTCACCGGTTCTTTTGACACACGGTTTGGGTGCTAGCTCTGCGGATTACGTTAATTCCGGCCCTGGAAAAGGACTCGGTTATGTCCTGGCCGACGCTGGGTACGACGTTTGGATGGGAAATGCCAGGGGAAACAGCTACAGCATGAAGCATGTTAGTTTGGATCCTAAGAAGGATGCACAACAGTTCTATAATTTTAGGTATATATGCTTTATTGAGATTCTGCAGTTTTTTTGAACAAGTCTTTCAAAAGATCTACTAAATTAAAATTTGACAACTTTTTATTATTATTATTAATATTATAAGGGCAAATATCAGAAACTGACATAGTAGTACCTATAGGTACTTGCCAAATAAATTGTTCATGATGTGATTTTTTTTAGTTGGCACGAAATCGGTTATTATGATTTTCCAGCCCAAATAGACCACATTTTAAACAAAACGTCGCAAGAAAGCCTCTATTACATCGGTCATTCCCAAGGAGGAACAGCTTACTTTGTTTTAACGTCTCAAAGAACAGAATATAATAAAAAAATCAAGTTGGCCTCTTTATTGGCCTCCTCTGGCATTATGCAGCACGAAAATATCATGCTTGAATTTATCAGCTATTTTATAGAACCTTTAGAAGTAAGTATTTGGTATAATGGTCATTATTATATGTAATATTAATAACCACTCATATACTTGGTAAGTATATGTAACCACTGGTCCACAGCTCCATCTCTGGTTGATAACAGGAGATGGAGCTAATTACATTGCTCTCACCGCAGCTTCCGTGGCAGTTGTTGAAAATTAACCATTCATAATTCAGCATTTTTACTTTCTTACTAATTATAACTAGTTTATTAATAAGTTTAAATACGTGATATATGTCAAATATGTTGCAATAGATAAAATGGTTTTGTCTCATATTCCTGTCTAGTTGTCACGTACTATGTTGCTCTAGTTTGAAGTCTACTACGATTAATTTATTGCGATTAAAAATATTAATTTTGTTTTTACCATTTTAGACGTTGGGAAATTCCCTTCGCATCTACAGTTTACCCTATCCGGAGCTTTTAAGATTTTTCTTGTCGGAATTTTGCATGGTTCAAGAGGATATTTGCTTTTTCGTTTATAATATGATTGTCGGGTATGATGATTCTGCACAGTTTAATATGGTAAGAATATAGGTAAAAAGTTTCTAAAAAAAAACTTAATTTTTTTCAGACAATGTTACCTGGTATTTTTAAAACAACTCCATCAGCTTTTCCATTGAAATCCTTATATCATTACGGACAATTAATTAAATCAGGTAGTTTTTTTAATAACATTTAAATGTAAAAAAACATTTTGTGGTGAAAAAGTGTTTTTTGTATTAGCAGAGATTGCAATCAATTATTATTTGTTTATTAGAACTATCTATATTATCCATCTAAGTGGATATCAAGTACCACTTATCAACGCGATTTCCTTAATTAAGTACTTACATATAAACTTATAAATAATATTTATCCACGTGTTACCTATTAATAATAATCAGTTGTAAGTTCCAAAACTTATGAGTTTTGAGAAACAATGCTTCCACTCTTTCACACATAAAACATTATTCCATATTTAATCATGACATGCACTTATAACGTTGTCGAGTGTGCTTCCACACCAGATGGCTACCCGGCACTAATGCGGCCCAAAAACGTTGTAACGTTGTTCCAGCACATATGCTTTGGCATTCAATAATGTTTGTGATCTCTTTAAGGTGAATTTAAGCAATACGACTTTGGAAGCGAGGAAAATATGATTCAGTATGGTTCCGAAAAACCTCCAGTTTATGATTTTGCCAACATTACGGCACCTACTGCGTTTTATTATGGAAAAAATGACATGATCATTGGCACAAAGGTAAACTTATTTTAAAATGTTTTTTTCCACTCCCACCTTTAAAACGCCCTTTAAATACACATTGAGAAGTTGTGGCTTTATGGCGCTTTAATCACGGGCTGAAGCTAGCAACAGGTTTTTAGTCACGGACTGAAATTAGTTTTAAGTTATTTGACAGTTGTCAAATGTCATACAATCGTTAAAATAAATTGCCTTTCTTGTAAAATAATACTAAATGTGAACATTATTTTATTATCTCAATACAAAAGTATTAAATAGTTTCTCAACGCCAATATTTGAAAAGTTTATATGAACATTGTACTGAACTTTTAATTTCGCCGGCAGTAAACTATAACTTAAATTCGGACTCCACTGTAAAGTGCTCATAAAACATTTTCTTTACTTTCACTATGAAAAACTGTCAATTTTCAAGAAATACATTTCGATTTATAACCTTTATAATCTGTGTGTATAAAATAAAAAAATGACATTTGACGGTGACACACAGATTCCCCTATTGTTTCATAGATGGCGCTCTATACAAATTTTTGATTTAAATCATTTTAAGATAAAAATAGTTAAATTAATACCCATAATTAACAATGTTTTAATTGAAAAAAAATCGTTTTTAGACAAATAAATATTGATAACTTTTCTATCGTATAATACGCAGCTAATTGTTTATACAAAGTGTTTTTTAACAAATTGCAGCCATAAATTGCTGTATAAAATTGAAAAAAAAAATAATATTTTTTTAAAAACGTATTTTTTCAGTTTCTTTTGTAAAATTGTATTACATATTACCTAGCCAAAAAGTCGTTAATAATTATTATAATAACCACTGCAAAATTTAATATACATGTACAGACTAATAAATTGACGAGTTTTGAGTAGATTACCGTTATTATTTCTAAATTATCGGATAAAATAATTTTTAGGATATTGACACCATGTCCTCGCTGATCCCAAATTTGGCTGGCAAATTCATGGTTAAATGGGACAAATGGAACCACATGGACTTTTTGTATGCAATTGATGTTGTAGAATTGCTATACAATGATTTAATAAACTTAATGAAGAAGTATTAAAAATACAAACTATGTACTTTTTTAATTTGAGTATGAAATTAGAGCCACGTTAGGAAATTTTGTATCATTTACGTTTTAACCTTTGTTATATTTTAATTATTAATTTTCTCTAATGACCTTCAATATTTTTGTAAATTTATTAATTTATACTAGTATCCTAGTATACTAGTATAGTTATCATTAACTATGCATAATTAGGTATATGATTTTTACATCGGATGTCGTTTTTATCATTTCCTGACAAAATAATTTATATTGACTAAAACAATTAAAACATAATAAAATTGTTTTATTTTAAAATATAGTGTTTTCTGCAACGACCATTTATTGACGGCATTAAGACATGACCATGAGAATAATGCAGACGCAAAAGCGCAAGTTTTTTTATACCAACACTAATACACAGTAAAAAAAATCAACTCTAAGCAACACTAATTAGAGTTCACACAGGTCCAAACTAAATAGTGTTGTTTTATAACACTACAATTAAAGTTAATTTATAGTGTAATTTTTCCCAAGTAAGCAAGTATGATTTAACACTATAGCTAGCACTGAGGATAAAGTAATTTTACACTGTATTAAAAAGTGTTAATTTACCTAAAATCGTGTACTTCTACACTTCCTGGGTAAAATCCCACTTTTGTTCAGTGTAAATTAACACTACTTTGGAAAAGTTCTAATTTTAGAAAGGTACTTTTACTCTTTTAGTGCAAACTTCTAGTGTAAGTTAACACTATTATTTGAGTAAAACCTATTGGTGGTAGTGAATAAAACGAAAAGGCAAATAAAGAGAAACATTTATTTGGAACAAAAATCTATGACAATTATCAAAAACGGTGCCTTTTAAAATATAATTTTATATTTGAGTCGTATGGCTGGCTTAAGCAAAATGGTTCCTTAAAACGTAAAAGTTTTAGATCAATGCAATGTTTTACTGGCTGTCAACTTGTAAGCAATGAATTATCGTGAGAATTTATCAGTTTTCCATTTTTCTGTTATAAAAAATGGGTGATCCCATTGGTAGAGTGGCGTCAGGCGGCTGTATGTCGTAGATTTACCACACGTGTACAAATTTTCCATAATATTAATAAAAATGTAGGTATAGGTTAATATAACAACCATTACGCTTGAAAATAAAAAGTAAATCAGGTGTGTATGTATTTATATTATTAATTTTACTGCCGTAAATTATTGATATATATATATTATAATATAGGTCGGTTATGGACATCCTTTTAACATATTGGTATTTATTGAGTATTAAGGCTTAAAGAAAAAGAAAGTATAATACTTACCAAAAAATAAGAATGTCCCCTTATGGCTTCACCGTAATTAAAATCCTACTAAACAAAAATGCCACACTTCCACAACGCGGTATCTCCGGATATGCACTGCTTAGGTAGATAGGTACCAACCAAACATTTTAAAACCCATTTCGGTTATTACCAGTTTTTTCAGTCTATTTTGCCACTATTGGTGTAATTTAACTTTAATTGTGATACAATGTGCACTAGTAGTGTAAAGAAAAAAAGAGCTCTTAGTAACATCAAAACAAACAAAGAAATTGGCATGCACTGTAGTGTACATTTTGTCACTATTTAACACATTAAGGGGTAATAAACACTCGCATTAAGTTTTTCTACCCTTTTGATGTATTTTAATAATAAATAGTGTGAATGTACCAATGAATAATGTTCATATTCTTTATATGTGTTTAATAAAGTTAATAAGCACTAAATGCTACCTAGTGTATTTTGTAGTGTAACTTGTACACTTACAAATCAACTCTAATATTTTTACCCCTACACTAAAAAATTTACACGGGCAAAATTTTTTACTGTGTAGAACGCCGCTGCGGTCATTTTGAGCATTTACCAAAATAAGAATTGTTGAAAATTGTAAATAAATTGCGTTATTGTTGTAGTTCATTTAATGTGTTTAATACCTTGAATGTAGGTTTTTTTGTGGCGAGACATTTTTAATAGCGTTTTTCTCGAAAACGTTTGGCTGGCTGGAGAATTGTATTTTAAGATCGAGAATTCAACAAAACCTCAAAAAAACAAGCTTTTTCCCGAGTAGTTCAAAAATTACCCCAGAAATAGCATCATTATTTTTTTATTAATAAAAACTTGATTTTGCGAATTTTTAATAATTTATTAAAATTAAACACACCTACATACTTATTATAATTAATATCATAAAAAAGAAATATAATATGTATAGAATAATAATAATAATTTTACCTCCATTAATATTTGGAAAACTTTGGTTTGTTTATTTTGTTTAATGGGGCATTTTAGTTAATATATTATAATAATTAATAATACATTTAGTTTAAATGGCAATTGATCTAATTTTACATACGTCAACTTTATACATTGGTCGTCATAAGTATTTAATGTCTGTTTTTATTAATTTAATTTATTAATAAAAATAAACATTATCTATTAATAAATAAGTCTAGGTACCTAAACTTTACATAGTTCAATAATTCAATTAATAAATAAATACATGACTTTAATACATGTATAAGTATTTTAGTAATTAAATAATTTAAACCTCTTAGTCAAAAATGACTAATTTAATAGTTATTGTGGCTGTTTTTCACTTGTACCATGGTTAACCATGTAACACCGTGGTATCTCAAAATTGAACAGCCAATTCTTATGTAAAATTGTCCCCTGAATCCGAAAATACCGTCAAAAATTAAGAAAGTGAAGCAGTTTTTGAGATATAGTTAATTCCATATTAAATGGAAAGTTGACTATATCTCAAAAACTGTTCTACTTTTTTAAATTTTGATGACATTTTGGAATACCATGGTACAAGTGAAAAATCAGCCACTATTAACTATTATTGACTATAACTAATAACTATTATTGACTAATTAATTTTTAGAGTTGAATAATAACACTTATTAACCATAATATTCTTTAAAGTCTTTTTAATGTTTTTTTTTTCAGAAAGATTTCTCATTTCCAATGGCATTCTTATTGTAAATTCTTATCAGTGATAATTATCTGATCACTGATAACTTAAGTTATCAGTGATAATTTATCAGTAATAAGTTATCAGTGATAATTTATCACAGAGTATGGAACATTTTTTGTAAGTAAAGATAGTTTAATCTATCACAGTTTAAATTGTTTTAAAAGCGAGTGCTGTAATCGTGACTACTGCAGTTAAATGTTTTAGACATATTTTGATTTCTCTTCACAAATAAAATTGATTCATATATAAAAATACCACAAACAGTTAAAATTCTAAAGTTAATAAAATATTCTTTACATGATACGAGTTGATTTAATTTAAACATACTTTTGCAAAACAAAAATTTTATTTACAAATACATATCTGGTGAATGGATCCAAAATATAATTCCATACCTAATTTTTTATTGGACGTATGAGTTTAATGCTGTTATTGCTGCATTTACATTAATTGAATTAGTTATAATTTTTAAAGCAAAGCAATATTTACTTATATTGCAATATCCATGGATGCGATGTTTTAAATGTGTTGCTTACAATCGAGTCTGCAATCATTTTGTAGACCCAGGAAGTTAACAGATTTTGAAATGTCAATGGAATTAATTTCTCAATAAATCAATAAATTGTTAATGTTTCTATTAAAGCTTAAGAGTTGTGCTTTCCCAATGTTTAATTTTAAATGCTTTTAATTGAACCATTCGTTTAACAATATTAGATTGTTTCCTATCTCGCTGGAAGCAGTTTTTAAAGAATTTGTAGTCAAATCAAGAGAAGTGTCGTCTGAAAATTGAATGAATTTTGGGGAACTACACTAGGTAATTCATTTGTATAAATAATATACAAGAGAGGGCCCAGTATAGAACCCTGTGGTACTCCTCTTTTTAAATATTATAATATAATTATAATAAAATATTAGTTTTTAAATACATAAGGTCGTTTGGCCCTTCATTTTTAAATTTTGGTGGATGCGCCAAATAAAGTAATTTTATCGTTCTTGACCTAAGATAAAAATTCAATCCACTTAATTGAAAAATTAGGACGATCTGCCTATTAAATAAATCTCATGCATAATATTTCTTAACCTTTGAACATCTAGTAGGTTTGCCTACAATATTTTTCTTTCAATTTAGTCGTCAACTAAATAATTCAGCATTATTAAACAGTAGACAAGTCCAGTTAGGTTAAATTTGTACTCTATGCTGACCTTTTTAATTATAAGTAATTCATAATGCTGGGTTAAGATGATTCAATTGATCAATTTTTAATATGATTGACCGAAATTGTATTAGCCCGTTTTAAATTTAAAGACTATTGTAACCCAAGCAGCATTTAAGGAAAAATAGTCTGATTTATTACCATGATTCTTTGGCCTACCTAATATCACTACAACATCTAAAATTCAATACATAATACTACACAGATAAATATAATTATGTAATAATTATTAACTACACATACATTTGGTGGTTAATTCTATCAAATTCCACTAATTTAGCAGCTCTTTCATAATTCCAAACCAAATATTAACTAACACAAGAAACACAATCTTCCAAAATGTCTGACACTTTCGTGAGTGGGGGATATTTTTAAGAATAGGCCAGTCCTACCAATATTTACTAATCTTAGAATAAATATAATTATATTTATATCCATGGATGCAGTATAGATTTATATCTTTAAGAACAGAATAGATGGAATTTTTCAAAATTTTGTCTAATCGATTGGTAATCTTAAATTAAGAATAAGAGACTTTCTTAACATTTAACAGGCAAGAATAACATCTTCTTGTCTAAAGAAAGATTAATATTTAGTTTAATGTTAGTTTTAGCCTTGACAATATTAAAAAAACTGTACTTGATTTTAAGCTAAGAAATAAAATCTTTTTAACTTAAGGATAGGTTAATATTTAAAAGAAATTTAATGTATATCCTAAGCAAATTATAAGTAAAGTAAATTTGTCCGTTATATATTTGAATGATTTATTAATTTCGTTATTTACCTTCTCATAAAAATAAATAAATTGTGACCCAATTATTCAATTTAAATATTGATAACCCAACCTAGAATTTTTAATAAAATTAGTCAAAAATTGATAACCTTCTAGAATAAAATAAAATAATAAACTGCTTAAAAGTTGATAAGGAATTAAGGAACATAAGCACAAAACTGGACAGAAAATATTAATTACTCTTATCAGTTAAAAATTCCCTATCAACTTTTGGGCAGTTAACATGCATAGTTAAGAATCAATGACAGAAAAAATAGCACAAATATATACCTAGCTACTTCATAAAGATTTTAAAATTGATAAACTTATTTTAAATTATTTTGTAATAAAAAATCTATACTAATATCCTGTGTTGCTTATAAAAATGTTACAAACAGTAGAAAAAATATCATGGCCTTTGAGATTTTTATTTAAAAAAATAATGCAATAAAAATTTATTTAAATTTCAAGATTCAAAAGTCGGCATTTTAATATAACTTTAGTTGTTTTAATAAAGATTTTGTACAAGATACAGAGGAACGAAATAATGAATAAACAAAGAAAAGAAACAATTGATGCAAGGGAATTCAAGACATTATAAAATGCACAGTGGACGAAAATAAAAAGGTATTATTTATACTTTTTGTGATATATTTCATATTTTTAATGGATAATATTTCTTAATTTGGTTTATTCATTAGGACAATTTTCTATTGCATTGCATCAGTTTTTAAATTTTTAATAATACAACTATTAAAAATGAATTAAGTAAAAACTTTGGTCATGATTGTTCGTTAATTTTTTTAATTGACATTTCTAAGAATAAAATTTTAAAATCATTATATAATTATTTATCTTTTTTTTATATTAAACCAGTTCAAGTAAGTCTAAAACGATATTTTGAGGAATTTTTTTAATTTTTTATAAAATTTAATAATTATATTAGTAAGCTTACCCAATCTTTAAATGCAAATATAAATTATAAATTTTTTTTATATTATTACTTTTTTTTATTATCTTAATTTTAAAAAGATCAACTTTTTTAGATTAGCCAAATTTGCTAAACATTTATATGGGTGAATCTCACGAAATGTCCCCCGATGGTGTTACCCCGTGATATTTAATAAAACCAAATGAGTTTGACCTACACTTTTATTGTGTTTTAATCTTTCATAATTAAGTAGATATTAAAGCTCAGGTTCCAGATTTTTAACCGCAATTAATTATTTTTTACAATGTTTTAAAAGTCTAAAACCTATCCTCCGTGACTGTTACTCTTTCTAGGTTAAACTATATGTTTTCAAATATTTGAGGTAGTAAAAGCATACTTAAAATATCAGTTCACTAAGTAAATTAAACACATCCAAAGCAATCGAATCAATTATAAAATATTATTAAAACTTAAAAGAAATAATTTTTATAACGATTTATGTACATAGGTGTTACAAAAATTGATTATATCCTCCGTGAATCTGTTTTTACATGCTTTACATTTTATGCAATGGCGCTTTAATCGTTTTTAATAAGCAAAAACCTCTGTTTACGACATTATATGTGATTCCTGAAGGTCAGTTAAAATAGTGTCGCTTTTTTTTGTAATTCAAATGTTTCAAAGTTCATTAATTTGCTATTTAAAAACCTATCTACCGTGAAGTGTAATATCTTTCTAAGTGGATTTTTTTATAAATATTTTATGTATGTACAATTGTATTTTTAAAACATTTAAGGTGTCAGAAGATACAATAACTTATTTCAAATATACAAAGGGATGTTTAAAAAACTAACAGTGAAACAACCAAAAATAAAAAATAATCATTTTCATTTGGGGGACATCTAAATTTATTTACCCATATGTTTATTTTTTTGCTGGCCAAATTTACTAATTAAATTAGATTTCTTGATCTACATAGTATACTTTTATCTCTATTTTTTTTTCGTTTTTAATAATCATTTGCTGATACCCCGTATATTTTAAATGTAATATTTAAGAAAGGATTATGTCTTTAACCTATATAGATAACAATATTACATACTAATATAAAAAAATGTAATTAGGTATGTGTCTACAAACGGATGTAGACAGTAATGTCTCCGGACTTTCGTACTCCTCCACAGTGCGAAATACGCTAAGGTACCGGCCAAACAGAGAGAAAAATAACAAAGTAGACTCACCACTACACTTAACGCAGCAGGAAACCAGTACAATTCGCTCCTGCAAAGCCAACGCGAGCGTACAGTACCCTCGACAGGCAGTACTTTGTGCAACAGTTTAAAAAATGAGTGACTCAAACGACATTAGGGCTCAAGCAGATGCCCTTTGTGACATGCCGCTGAAAAAATTAAACAGGATTATTAAAAGACAGCCCATAGATTTGGAGTTTCAAGATTTGGTGTACTCGGTCAGAGATAATAACGCTAAAGGGGGTAAGTGACAAGTTTTATGTTTTCGTGCTTTCCAGCACAAATTTGTTTCAAGATATGATATATCTTGAAACAAATTTGTATATATATTTTGCGACAAAAATTTCAAAATAATAAAAGTAAGGAAGAATTATTTTGTGTTCATTAGTTTTTTACAACAACAAAATGGTTTAATGGTGTAATTTGATATTTATAACGAGAAATTGGAATACATAATAATTATTATAAAAAATATTTTGCGTATTTTTCAAATACTAAACTATAGTTATATATTAGACTGGGCCAAAAAAATCGACTATTTTTTTTTTGGATATTATATCGAAAATATTGTTTGGGGTGACAAAAAAAAATATGGTGAAAGTTTGAGTCCATAATATTAATATTAAGAGGTCTATCATCGCAATTTTAGATTTTTTTTCCCTGAGCGAGTTTTTGTCTCAGAACTCCCAAATTATTGAGTTTAACAAAATTGACTTAAGAATATTTTTTAAGGAAAATTGAATGCTCTACAAAAAAGTTTTGATTGGAATTTCCCGTCAGATGAACACTTTTCTTACAATCATGCCTTAAAAATTGGTATAGTTTTACGATTTGATCTTTTAACCTGGAATTTTGTAATTTAAGTAAAAATCAGTACCCTGAAAAAAAAACGATAAATATTCTTATGGGAAATCAAATGCTCCACAAAAAAGTCTTTTATCATTTTTGGCTAAATTCACTCCATCAAAAGTTATTCAAGGTTAAATTTGAAGTCAAAACAAAATTTTAACCTTGAATAACTTTTGATTGAGTGAATTTAGCCAAAAATGTTAAGAGGCTTTTTTTGTAAAGCATTTGATTTCCCATAAGATTATTTATCGGTTTTTATGGGTACTGATTTTTACATGAATTACAAAATTCCAATTTAAAAGATCAAAATGTAAAACTAAAACAATTTTTAAGGCATGGTTTTAAGGAAAAGGTTCATCTGACGGAAAATTTCACTTTAACCTTTTTTGTAGAGCATTTAATTTTCTTAAAAAAATATTTTTGAGTCAATTTAGTTAAACTCAATGGTTTGGGAGTTCTGAGACAAAAACTTACTGAGGACAAAAAAATTAAAATTGCGATGATAGACCTCTTAATATTAATATTATGGACTCAAACTTTCACAATATATTTTTTTGTCACCCCAAACCATATTTTTGATATACTTTTAAAAAAAAATAATTGATTTTTTTGGCCCAGTCTAATAGATATATCTAAAAGTATTATTTAGTACTGTTCCAATGAGGTATCACAAATTATTAAAAAAATTGAGTTTTTTTAGATATTTGAGTTAAAAAATGTATTGGACACCAACATATTATGTGGGTGCCCAAAACATTTTTTCTCTCGAATATCTAAAAATTGTTTATAATAATTTAAATACTTAGTCAATAAATATATTGTTTATAATAAATAATATATATTTCTATACATGGGGATATTAATTAATTATTATTAATAATTAATTAATATTTATTTCTTAACAAAGTTTATAAAAAATTGTTATTTATTAGTACCTACTTAATGAGTCCCTATGTATATAATTAACCATAATTAGTTTCATACAATGACAAAATCTCGCGAACCATGTACAATGTACATATGCTAGGTATGATGTGTATATGATTGGTAATCATAAGTGAAATTTGAACATCATTAATTAACATTATTTTGTTTACAATCTATAGTAAATTACCTCAATAATAGTTAATAAATAGTTTAATATGTTAAAGCGTTGGATACATATCCAACATACATTATTTGCAAAAAGTTAATCTATATATAGTACACAAATCTACGATTTAATAAAATATATTAAAAATCAAGATTTAAACTACAAAAAGTTTTAATATTTTTTAAAATTATCTTCTTAAATATTTATATAAGAATAATATTTATAAAGGAAAAATCATAAATGTATACCTAAAGAAACTTGATTATTTAAAATATTTGTCAGCTGTCAAAATCAAAATTTATCCCTTAAAAATGGACTAGCAGCCGTTTAAATCTGATAAACAGTTTTTCACAGTGCTATCGAAAAATTTTTAAACTTATCATTCCTATTTTAAATTTATGCCAATGTGCCATTTTTTCCTACCATTTATTAAACTAATGTCAATTTGCGAAATTTGCTACCATTTTTTTAAATTTATGCAAGGGTAGTTTTCAATTATCCAATTTGATTCGAATTTGGGCAGTTTTCAATAACCTGGTTTAAAAAAATTTTTATGTGGAGGCAGTTTTCAATTATAAAATTTTGTTCGAGCCGCACGCACCTCTACACAAAAGTCTTCATGCTCTCCTAATAATATTATTAACGACAAATATACATTAAATAATGTATTTTATCTACTCCTACATTGAAGAGCTGCAATTTTATGGGGTTTTAGTCACGGGCTGAAGTTGACAACAGTGGCTTTTGGGCATTTTAGTCACGGGCTGAAGTTAGCTTTATTATAAATTGCGAAAAAGTGAGGTTAAATTTGTCAAATGTCAAATATTTTTAAATTAAAATTGGCTTTACATTCTTATTCTCTAGACACTCGTTTTTATTAAACACTCGCTCGCAAGCTTCGCTCATACATAATAAAACTCGTAACTAAAATAGCGTTTATAAAACTTGATATATAATATACTATTATCTACTCCTCCATTGATAAGCTGTGACTTTATGGCGTTTTAGTCACGGGATAAAGTAGCAACAGTAGCTTTTGGGCATTTTAGTCACGGGCTGAAGTTGGATTTATTATAAAATGGGAAAAAGTAAGGTTAAATCCATTGACAGTTGACAATTGGCTTTAAATTCTTGATTATGTTTGTCGTAAATAAAGTATAGTATGCAACTCGCTTTATAAACTTCTCTAGACACTCGTTTTTATTAAATACTGCTGGCAAGCTTCGCTCGTGCCTACTAAAACTCATAACTAAAATGGCGTTTATAAAATTTGATACATAATATATAGGTACTATTACATAAAAATAAAAAATAGTTTTAAACTAACAAACAAACATTCCTACATAGTTTATAATTTTCCAATAGTTTAAAAAACATTATATTACGTTAATTTCCTACAAATATTATGTGTCTGAACTTATTTGTATCACCTTCTAGTCCACTTTACATGTAAAAATTAAAACAGGAAATCATGCTGACTTCCTCTTTAATCATTGATTTACCATGGTTAACTTTTTTATCGAAAAATTAGTGAATTCAAACTGTTCATTATAAATCACACAAAACGCGATAAATTTAAGTTATTCATAGATTAAAAATTTTTAACAACAAAACCTTGAAACAAATTTAAGCTTTACTTAATTAAAAAACAATTGAAGTCGATTGAAAGTGCACAATAAAGCAATCAGATTTACCGGCTGATGAACGGACGACCTATTTATACAGAGCGATTATTAATTAAAGCGCAATAATTTTAAAGATTTTTATCTACTCCTACATCGACGAGCTGTGACTTTATGGCGTTTTAGTCACGGTTTGAAGTTAGTCCAAGCAGCATTTTTGGTTCCAAAAACCATTACCAAAGTTGTGATAACTTTAAATTAGTTAAGTTTACTAAACATCTACTTTAATTTTTACTTAAAAGTAATTCTAACTTTTAAATAGCAATATTTTGTAACAGAAACTTCATTCTTTTCTTAAATGATTACTATAAAGTAATAAACATTTAAAAAAGGTGTTATAAGTAAAACGTTTATGGTACTAACCAAAACTACCGTAAAGTAAATTAAGGTGGAAAAAACTTTAAAGTAGCGAAAATTACTTCAAAGGAAAATGCTTCTTATCGGCCATTTTTTACTGTATACAGTACCACGTGGTAATGTAAATAATAAATTATTTTAATTGTTTGTAAATGGTTGTTTACTTTTTATTAAATAGTAATTTTGTTGGTAATAGACGGTATTAATAATTAAATAAAAAATTAATAATAAATATTAAGATTTTTTTTATTTATAAACATTGTTAAATAAATAATTTGTTTATACTTAAATATTGATGAAGCGCATTTACTTTTCAAAAACTAAATTCATAAGTTCAACAGTAAAATTTAAAGGGTTTATAAATTTACTTGCTTAATTAAACATTATATTGTTATTCTGGAAGTTATAAACTACCAGTACCTACATATTTAATAAACGACGACATTGAAAAGTCAAGTCCGTAGTGGTTCCATTTAAAAAAGGACGGATAGTATAATCTAATATAAGTTTGACAAAGAGTTAATATAGAAGTAAAAACAAATAAATAAAAGTAATTATAACGCTCTAGCAACGATATTGAAACGTTCTAGTAACGTAGCAGCTACGTTCCAAATAGTAGCAGGGTTTATAGCTAGTGATATATTTGCTACCTTTTTGGAACTCAATAATTGTTCCCCACTTTAGTCGTAACTTAGCTATGAAAGAGTAATATAAAGAGACCGGCGACTGTCGCAAAACAACAACAACAAAAGTTTCTTCAATAGTCCCATATACATAACAAATACTTAAATTGTTGCTTGGGAGCTTTATTATAAATTAGGCAAAAGTGAGGTTAATTCATTGACAGATGTGAAATGTTTAACCAATAAAATTAGCTTTAAATTCTTTTTTGTGTTCGTCGTGAATAAAGTATAATATGCAACTCGTTTTATAAACTTTTCTAAACTTGCTCGCAAGCTCGCCTAATAAAACTCGCATTTAAAATGGCGTTTATAAAACTTTTGGCAATACAAAAAATTGTTTAAAATTGTGTGGAAATGTAATAAAATTATTAAAAATCCTTGAGATTTTCTATGAAAATTAAGAGTATAAAAATGTAAACAAAATGGAACAGATTTTTTTCTGAAAACAAAAATTATGAAATATTAATTTATAATTTTAAAATTAAAAGATCTTTCAAGCAAAAAGATCGTTTTTAAATAACAATTAAAAAAATAAAAACCCAAATTAAAAAAAAATGGAAATTTGAAAAAAAAATCCCTACCATTTTTAACTTTATCCCACTGTGCTAATTTGTCCTACATCTTTTAATTTATGCCACTGTGCGAATTTGTCCTACCATTTTTTAAATTATACATTTTTTTTTATTTTGGAGAAAGCATTTTAAAGATTTAAGCGGTTTAGAGTTTTTAGCTAATTTAAATTATTAAAAATTAAAAATATGCTACTAGGTAGTACCTACATAAAATACTAGGTACTTATGCTACTTAGCACTTTTTTTTTCAAAAAATTTAATTTATCTAAGAACTTTTAATCTTTAAAATGCCCTTTTGTGATAGATAATTGGGGGCCGTTGAAGTATTACGTAAGCACTGTAGGGGGGCGGGGGGGTCTTTGCTTTGCTTATTTTTGATGACATGGGGGGTGGGGGGTCTAGATGGTGATTACGTCAGCAGTAGTTATTTACTTTTTTACACATATGGCAACTCACACATTGTCTATGCTTGAAAACGAAAAGACCAATGTTTACGTAAGCATGGGAGGGGGGGTAAGAGCTTTGATTACTTTTGCTGACAAGGGGGAGGGGGGGGTAAATAATTGTAGTAAATCTGCTTACGTAATACTTGAACGGCCCCTTGGAACGATAATCAGACTAAACAAAATGTGTTACAATAATTTATAGAAATCTAAAAAGCTTGTAAGCTTTAAAACAATTAACAAGACCATAAAAACAATTGGCTGACATTTGACATAACCACATATAGGTACCTATATAATTATATTGTTCTGTTTTCGATATTCCTAATGCAATAACAATGTATGTAAGGCATGTTATATACACCATGTTAATTACAAATACACGAAAATAAATTATAGATTGCTCACGATTTCCATGACTTTTATTTTTAAATTTTTATCAAAATTTTACCTGTGCGTGTGTTTTTGACTTTGCAAATAACGCGCATGTGGTGTAATTTTTTCAAGTCTAAGGTCACAAACCTTAGCAACTAATGACCTGACTTTGCGGAACACGAAATATTATTTTTAAATAAGTAGTTGTTTGAATTAATTAATAATCTTCGAGAGCATATTTTATTTATTTAAAAACGTGTTTTATATGGAAAGAAAGTATATTTATCTATTCAAGGATATGTTCTTAAAAAATGGTGGTTTTAAATGGCACCAAACGTTTTAATTTAATCATTTTTAAATCTAACTTGAAATAAAAAATATCCCTTTAACATTTCAACTTAAACTTATAATAGTGGGTATATCAAATTTTCAAAAAAACTGCTTTTTTTTTGTTTTTCGCTCATAACTTCTTAAAAATGGTCCAAATCAAAATGTTCATTCTATATAAAATTTTCGTTTTTAAATGGACTTTTCAAAAAAAAAATATATTGAAAATATTTAAAGCGTTTTAAGTCAAGATTTTTGAGTTTTAAAGTTTAAATCGTGTTTTTAAAAATGTGTGTCTTCTTCGATTTTTGCGAATTTTTTTTATTATATATAAGAACTAATGTCATAAGACGTCATTTTGTCGCATGCAGACAATTTATAAAACGAGCATACCTATATTTTAATATTTTTTCTCAAGATTACATTTTTTTGTCAAATTATCTTATTTTTCGAATTGGATTATAGGTTGGCGACAATTATTAAAAGGAATAAATGGAAAATTTCATTCGGGGGAGCTAACAGCAATTTTGGGACCATCTGGTGCAGGAAAAACTACACTGCTTAACATACTTGCAGGATATGTGTAAGTAATTTTTAAAAAAGCGTATTTTTATTAGCATGACCTAAAAATATCATAAATATTGCTTAATAAATATGGGAGTTGTAGTTTTGGCCGCCACTTTTTCCAGATTTTAGGAAATGCGATTTTTTTAATTTTAATGTTTTTTTGTTTGTAAAAATGTTGTGAAATGATAAGTTTAAGGTTTACATAAATTATTTTAAAAAATACCAATTAAATAAATTAAGAATTTTTTAAACGTTATCTTTTAAAAACAGGTCCATTTATTACATTCCTAATGGTCTTTATCTAATTTTTATACCAATAAAATTTCCAGCAATAATCATTAATGATCAATAGAATAAAATACTTGCAGAATTAATGAATTAACCATAACACAATTAATTTATAATTCTTTTTGAATTTTCCAACAAAATTTATTTTTGTAGGAATGTAGGCGTTAAAGGCAGTATTAAAATAAACAGTAAAGCAAGAAATTTAAAAACCTTCAACAAAATTTCTTCGTATATAATGCAAGAGGATGTCGTGCAACCCAGACTCACTGTACGCGAAGCTCTACTTGTAGCTGCGAAGCTGAAACTTGGTTCCGTCGTGTCAGCAGCTGACAAAATTGGAGTTGTAAGTATTATGCATACCTCACAGTTTTTTTTGGTGTGTGGTTTTTGAGTTGGGTTTTATTTTTATTTTTTAAGTGTTTTAAAGTTAACCTTTCCTTTTGTTTTTTGAATTCAAAAACAACATTTCAGACCAAGAACTGTTAATATATTATAATTATGCCATAAAAAATATGGAAATTTTATATATTTAGTTACCCACCTTAATTTATCAATTTATTCATTCCGGTGTTTTTTTATAATTACAAATTAATGATTATGAATTTCTTAAAAATAAAACTTGAAATATTCCTAAATTAATTTAAAATGATAATTTATTTCCGGGAAAATTTTTGGGCAAGAAATCATCTGTTGGTGTCATATCGGATAAATGTTGAATTCTCGATCTTAGAAGCGTTTTTGAAATATTTGAGCCCTCTAAAACTTTCTTTTACATACTTTTGATATAGGATAAGTATTTTGACGCTAGCGATTTTATTATTATTTATGGCAAAAATTGAGGTCGAAAATTTACATATCGTCCTGGGACAGGTTTAAATCAACTAGATAACTCCAGTTTGATTTTTTTCGTAAAGCTAACATTTTTACAAAAAAAACAAGCAAATGTTGATAAAAATACATGGAAAAATGGCGAAGTTATGAAATTCAGCTTTTTGACAATTTTTATTTTATTTTTTTTCTTTTATTTTGTAATATGTTTATTCTTTAATGAAAACTTAATTAAATTGCAATTTTTTGAGTTTTTTACGTACTTTTTTCACCGAAAATATTATTCAAAATTTAAATTGGACATGACTCCGCAAACGTTAATTCTTTTGTTTCTCGTGTTGGCATGTATATATGACTATTTTACTGCTATTTTTTGATATTTTTATCATGGTTTTATTTGGTTAATAAAATAGTGTAAAAAGAGTAAAAGAAGTACAGAGTTCGAGAGCGTAAATAACCCGGACAATCTGGGCGACGTAAGTGATGAGCACGGAGAACGTTTTCACCAGCAAATGAAGGCTATGGAGCAGTGGTATCAGGGCTTCTGGGATGCAGCCATGATGGGTGATTACATTTTGTCCCTCATACGAGAAACGGAATACGAAAGCAACAAAAAACAAAGAAGGAGCCAGAATTTTTTTAAACCTATGCTTATTACAACAAAATAAAACTTTCAATATCTTCAATGTTCAATATTCAATATATAATTTAATTTCAATATTTAATGTTTAAAATAAAAATCAATGAAAAAAAAACCTAAAAATTCTCGAAAAACTTAATTTTGGTCTTCCACTGAAAATTCATAACTTCGCCATTTATCCATGGATTTTTATCAACAGCAGCTTATTTTTTTCCTTTAAGTAGGTATAATCTATACGTAAAACAAATCAAACTGGACTTATATTTTCGATTTCTATCTTTCCCAGAAAGATATGTAAATTTTCGACCTCGATATTTGTAAAAAAAGGACTTTTCAACTTCATAAAATCGCCAGCATCTAACTACTGAGCTGAAACCAAAACTTTAAAAGAAAAAGTTGTAGAGGGCTCAATTACCTTTGATTTAAGTGCTTGTTTGGCCAGGAATGAAATATTTGCACAGTAAAATTTATCTATTTTTTACATTTACTTTTTAATTTTTGTTTTGCCTTATTTTCTTTGTATATTTTTATATTTACATTTTATTTTTAATATAAAATAATAATAGTATCAACCAGACAAAAATTAAATACCAACTACACTTACAGGCAAAATAATCGATCCACACAAATTTTCGATGAATTTCAATCGCAAATAACTGTTTTATTTGATTTCGGATTTAAACAAATATTAAAGAATATTGTAGATACGGCTGGTGGATTTTATGTTTACCAATATCTCAGTTATTAGACATGGGACCCACACAAAATTTATAATAGTTTATAATGGCATTAAATAAACAAGTTCGGCGCAAACAGAATTTAAATTGAAGTTTGCGAAAAAAAAGTTAGTTTTTCCTGTCGCCTCACCCGCCTCCAGGCCCCCCCTATTTGAGATAATTCAAATTAAAGTGGTGCAATTTATTATCTACCATAATTTATCGAATCATTTAAAATTTTATTTAAAAACTCAAAATTTTACAGATTTTATTCGATTTTAAATTTTTATTATTTATTTTATTAAAATATAAAAATATTTAAAATGGTATAAAACCTGTAATATTTGGATTTTTTAAATAAAATTTTAAATTTGTCGATAAATTATAGTTCATAATAAATTGCACCACTTAAATTTGAATTATCTTAAATAGGGGGGCCTGGAGGCGGGTGAGGCGACAGGAAAAACTAACTTTTTTTCGCAAACTTCAATTTAAATTCTGTTTGCGCCGAACTTGTCTATTTAATGTCATTATAAACTAATATAAATTTGGTGTGGGTCCCATGTATAATAACTGAAATATTGGTATACCCAAAATCCACCAGCCGCCACTGAGATACATTAATGGAGAATCTCTCACATTTTAAAAATTACACGTACGTTTATAATATACAGGTTTAAACAAAAATATGTTTTTTACCATAAGTTTAAGACACTCTGTAGTGGCAAAACCGTATATTGTTCTAAATTAAGCTTTAATTATCAAGTCACATCTATTTTTAACAGTTTTGTTTTTGGTTCACCTTGATATATATATTTTTGTGGAAAATATGGATTTTTTTAAAAAAACATTGCAATTTCCAATATTTTTCCTGTATGAAGAACTAAGGTTGCTATGGTCCATCCATAGCCTATGGAGGATGACAGTGACAGTTTTGTTGAATCATCCCATACTTGGACATGTCAAATAGTTTTAAAAAGCTATCAAATTGTTTTTTGTAAATTAATGTGTTAATTTTGAGGTGTCTTCTTACTTTTAAAAATGTCTCCGACTGATGTTGCCCTTTGTACTTTACTTCTTGTGACGTTTAAAACTCTTGACACGTAATACTGTGACCGTCCATCCTGGATTAAATTAATGGCTCTGGCAACATCAGTCGGAGACATATCCATTTTTTAAAGTAAGAAAACACCTCAAGTTTAAACATTAATTTGCAAAAAACAATTTGATAGCTTTTGAAAGCCGTGTATGACATGTCCAAGTATGGGATGATTCAACAAAACTGTTACTGTCACTCCATAGCCTATGGATGGACCATAGCAACTTTAGTTCTTCATACAGAAAAATATTGGAAATTGCAATGTTTTTTTAAAAATTCCATATTTTCCACAAAAATAAATATACCGAGGTGAACCAAAAACAAAACTGTTAATAATAGATGTTACTTGATAAATAAAACTTAATTTAGAACAATATACGGTTTTGCCACTCTACAGTGTCTTAAACTTATGGTAAAAAACATCTTTTTGTTTAAACCTGTATATTATAAACGTACATCTATTTTTTAGTAATTTTTAAAATGTGAGCGATTGTCCGTTAATTTATCTACAATATTCTTTAATATTCGTTTAAATCCGACATCAACTAAAAAAGTTATTTGCCATTAAAATTCATCGAAAATTTGTGTGGATCGATTATTTTGCCTGTGAGTGTATTTGCTTATAGAAAAAAAAAGTAATCCTCCCCGGCGGGGAATCGAACCCCGGTCTCCCGCGTGACAGGCGGGGATACTGACCACTATACTACCGAGGACTTGTCAAAAATAAGTCTGCTTAAAAAATTTCCAGTCCAATTAGATTACTCTACACAACAACCGTTTTGCTACAGTGTAGATAACAATTTTTTTAGGGTAATTTGGGCACGCTGAATCCAAAAATCACCATCATTTTGCCTAATTAGCTTTTGTTTACGAGATATTGCGAAAAAAACGTGTTTTAGATATGCAAAATGCATGTATACCTATGTTCTTTTAGATAGACGAAGTTATAAACCTCTTAGGTCTTCAAAAATGCTCTGACACAATGAGCGAGTACCTTTCAGGAGGTCAAAGAAAAAGACTTGTTGTGGCTTTGGAACTGGTTAACAACCCGCCTATAATATTTTTGGATGAGCCTACTTCGTAAGTATATCAAAAATAATAGTTTTAACTTGGATGAATTAAATTAGTTTTGTTGTAATCGTTTCAGTGGTTTGGATAATTATGCTATCAAGCAGTGTGTCGACTTATTACAAAAGATAACGAAAATGGGCAGGACTGTCATATGCACAATACATCAGCCGCCCGCATCTCTATTCCAAACTTTTGATCAGGTAATAATTTTGTCTTTATTGTCTCTTCTTATTTACAATTTAATTTTTTTAATTAATGCATTATTTTTTTAATTTCAGGTGTATGTAATAGCTAGCGGTTTTTGCGTATACAGTGGCTCCCCCTCTAATTTGGTACCATTTTTGGACAACTCAGGCTACAAATGCCCCCCAACCTACACACCAGCAGATTACGGTAAACACAAACATTTAAATTTTCTATGCTAGTAGGTAGGTACCTAATTACTATTACATAACCACTATAAAACTATTAACTACAGCCAAACAGGATCATGGCCAAAATTTTATAGTTTAAGCAGTAAAATTACATAATATGACAAAACATTTCTTAAATTTAAATGTTAGTAAAGGTATAAGAAAGGTATTTATTGAGAATGAAGAACAAATCAGTCAAAATCCTTTTGGATACTAAAACTTTATTGCAAATTAAGTGATAAAATTAAAAAGAACCCTTAAAAAATTCTTTAACAAAATGGTACATTTTATTTATAAAAATAGTGTTTAATTTTTACTTTTTTTTATATATTTTTATAAAAAAAACATTATTTTGTCAATTAATTAATTTAATCCTAATTGAGGTATAAAAAAATGGTATTTTGTTCTTTTTTACAAATTGATTTATATATATGGGTGATTCTACAAAAGTTGGACAACTTGATGTCATCAGTCAATAAAGTAGATATTTTAATATTTTTTGTAAATATTTTAGTATATTACAAAAGATCCAGGTTTTTTTAACTTGTCCACCCAATTTTAATGTATTTTTTCAAAAGCACGTTTGTAGAAAAACATAATAAATATTCAAAACCTCAGTACCTTGGTGTGTCACAACTCCTGAATCAAATATTTGAGTGATTTTATTTTAAAATATATTCAATTTATCTTAAATTTTTCAATTTCACTACAATCTATAAAACATTAAATAATGTTTTCTTCATATTTTATCATATACCTATTCGAATAAGCAATTTTTAAAAAAATGATAATCTTTGTACTCACTTTAACCCGTCAGTTCTGTGTCCAACGTTAAACGTCAATTTCTCGTTTTAACTCAAGTGTTGGTAAAAAATTACCTACAGAGCCCGCCCTTTGCACGACAGTCTTCATGAAAACAATGCAAGCGGCGAAGTTGTGGTGAATGCACGTATATTTCCAGTCAAAATGTCAGTACTGTGGTGAATAGTTATTTTCTTACGTGTATATATTCATTGTAATTTATACGAGTATAAGGCTATATGTGATTTGTTGATAAGTAGCATCCTCTAATAAAAAATATCAGAAAAATACTTAATTCCGAATTATAATCTTAAATTTGAATCCCATTCATCAGTTCCATGTTCGATGTTTCGGTTATCTTTTTTTCGCAAACTTCAGTTTAAATTCTGCTTGCGCAGAACTTGTTTATTTAATGTCATTATAAACTCATATAAATTTGGTGTGGCCCACACCGTGTGGGTCCCATATCTAATAATTGAGATATCGGTATACCCAAAATCCACCAGACACCACTGATGTGTGGTATTATTTGATTTTAAGATATTTAATGTATAATATGCTCAAAGTTGCAATAAATCTTATATTTTCCAATAAATTATGTATTTAATTAGTACCCTGGTATACTCGTCATTTCCCTTGCATTCAAATTTAGAAAACACAGATATTTCAGAAAATTTTTGAAAAAGTGACTGGCCCGGTCTGGAACAGTATATTTATTATATTATCTATGTTCTTATAACAAAATACTGTTTAATTTTCTCGGAAAACTACATAAACAAAATGAGGTCAAAAGTTGCCCAACTTTTGTAGAATCACCCATATACAGGGTGGCCGATTTATCTGAAGACATTGAAATATTTCGAAAACTACGCATCAGATCAAAAAAAGTTTTGAATAAAATTTGTTCGCCTGGAAGGGGGCCATCCAATGATACCAAAGTCGACCCCTCATCACCACTCCCTGGGGTGGGGGTGGGGGCAACTTTAAAATTCTAAATAGGAACCCCCATTTTTTATTGCAGATTCACATTTCCCATTAAAAAATAAGTAACTTTTATGGAAAAACTTTTTTTTAATTCCTGATAGATGGCGCTGTAATCGCAAGAAACCCGATTTTTGGGAATATCTTAAAAAATTACACATCGGATCGAAAAAAAGAAAAACTTGTTTAATTTTTAGATTTTATTCGTATATAAATAAGTTAACATCTATTTTTAACGTTACCCAAGAACAAGGACCAGGACGCTGTAGTTTTTTGTTCCCATCGGGGTGCTAGTTTTAAGAGAGTCCCCCTGCCTCTCACTGTTTAATAAATTAGATTAAATGTTCGAAATTGTGACCTTGAACTTCTAGATACTTATTTATTCTTTTTTTCAAATGATTCTACACAGGAGAGGAGCATATCTGCGGGAATTTCAGCACAAGGGTTTCTTATGCGCTGTATCATGTATTCCCGAGTTCTTGGTGCTTGTTGAAAAACCTTATCTTTTAGATAACCCCACAGAAAAAAATCCGGCGATGTCAAATCAGGTGACCTAGCAGACCAATTAACTGGGCCACCTCTGCCGATCCATCGGCCATTGAAATCACGGTTCAATACTTCCCGTGCTGTTGCTGAGTAATGGGCTGGGCAACCGTCATGCTGAAACCACATAATTTGTCGAATGGGCAGGGCAACATCCTCAAGTAGAGGTGGTAGTTCATGTTCCAGGAAATTTCGATATTTGATTCCATTTAAGGTTCCATCAATGAAATAAGGACCAATGAGTTTGTTACCTAAAATTCCACACCAAACGTTAACCGACCAGGGACGTTGATGTTCAACTTGTCGTAACTAGTGGGGATTGTCCACACTCCAATAGTGCATGTTATGCCGATTAACGGAACCATGGTTTGTGAATGTGGACTCATCTGAAAATAGTACATTAGCGAAGAAATTGGGATTTATTTGTATTTGCTGAACTGCCCATTCACAAAATTCTACTCGCCGATGAAAATCATTGCCATGAAGTTCCTGATGCAGTGAAACCCGGTATGGGTGATACTTGTGACGATTCAATATTCTCCGAATACTATCTCTGGAAATCCCGAGATCCCGATGTATTTCCCGAGTGCTTACATGAGGGTTATGTTGAACAGCTGCTATCACATTAATTTTATTAGCTTCTCCGAAAATCAGAATCATTTCAATCTTTTCTTCTATGGTTGCAGCATTCATTTCTCACTCGTACGTTTCTAAATCAACTGCGAATGTTGCGTCTATAAAAACGTATGTTTTTATAGACGCATAAGTACCTAAGGTATAAATATGTTTTTATAACATACCGACATATGTACAATGTACATTGTACATACCTGGACGCATTTGTAAGGTATAAATATTTTTAATTTGTACCAACATCAAAAGGAATTAATTTTTTTTTTTTTTTAATTCCCTAACAATTCTCGTACTGTCCGTTCAGGCTAAGTTGAGCGGTCTAAGGAATGTCACCCCGTTCATCATCTCTATGTTCAGGCACAATTAAATACATGTATTTCGGTAGCCGCTCTGTACGAACAAACGGCAAGCCGCGGCACTGATAAATCATCTTCTTGTTACCGAAATCTCGCGACGATTCGATGTTTAATTTAATTAACTGCCACATGATCTCCCACCAAAGCGCTCAATTTAGCCTGAACGGACTGTATACACTAATTATATTTTTTAATGGGAAATCCGAATCTGCAATTTTTGAAGATATTCCCAAAAATAGGGTTTCTTGCGATTACAGCGCCATCTATCAGGAATTAAAAAAAAAGTTTTCCATAAAAGTTACTTATTTTTTAATGGGAAATCCGAATCTGCAATAAAGAATGGGAGTTTCTATTTAGAATTTTAAAGTTGCCCCCACCCCCACCCCAGGGGGTGGTGGTGAGGGGTCGACTTTGGTATCATTGGATGGCCCCCTTCCAGGCGAACAAATTTTATTCAAAACTTTTTTTGATCCGATGCGTAGTTTTCGAAATATTTTCATGTCTTCAGATAAATCGGCCACCCTGTATATATATACATTTTTAAGGGTTTTCCGAGATCTGCTCTATGTTGTTTTGGTTCTTAAAAGACCATCTTCAGGTCTTATCTGCAAGGTATAATATAAACTTTGTTTTAGTTATCGAGCTGGTCCACTCTAACCCTCAAACCATCACGGGCCTCTCCTCAAACATACAGAATGGTAGAGGAGACGTAATCACAAAACAAAAGTATCTGGCGGAACCCGAAGATTTCACAGAAGTATACAAGGATACCACTGTTCAAAATGTGGTGTTTCCGACGACATTCTGGCAGCAATTTAGCATATTGTTGGGGAGAATGTTGCTACAGATGTCAAGGAATAAAAGTATGTTGTACATTCAATTCTTCCATCACCTATTATCTGGACTGCTGCTTGGTGGGATCTACTTTGGAGTTGGAAACGATGCATCTCAAACCATAGCGATTTTCAAATATTGCATATGTGTCAATGTGTTCTTCATGTATACGCATGTAATGGCGCCAGTTTTACTTTGTAAGAACCTATAGAAAATTTTTTTTACTGTATTAACATCCAAATATCTTTTTAGTCCCGCTTGAAGTGAAACTACTGCGCAGAGAATATTTTAACAGATGGTACAGCTTAAAACCCTACTACTTAGCGTTGACGGTGGCATCCTTACCCATAATGGTAAAAATAACTGCAATATTAAACCATCAAATAAACATGTTTTACTTCCAGCTTCTCCTGGGATGCATGTTTTTGACCATAGTATACTTCATATCATACCAACCCTTCGAAGGAGTCCGATTTTTCTGGTTCTGCGCCATGGGGTTATCTGTAGCAGTATGCTCGCAAGGGTTAGGCTATGCTATCGGATCTATGTTTAGTATAACGGTAAGCATTTATACTAATCTTTATACATATTTTTGTAGGAAATTGAATGCTCTACAAAAATGACTAACCATTTAAAGATATTCAAGATCAAAGTTTGAAGAATTTAAATTTTTTTTTATAATTTTGTAAAAATTATTGTCAATCCGAATCCCAATGCTACTGATACAAATATCTTCTCAACGGTTAGAGTATTCAATTAAACACATCAAACCTTTTTTGTAGAGCGTTATATTTCCTACAAAAATATGTCATACTCATTTGACAATAATTATTTTTTCTACTAGCGTGCGCAAAGTAACACTTATCCGCACCCATTTGTATTTAAAATGTACCTAAGTACCTAGGTACCTATATTGCTTTTAGACAAAATCAAATTTAGTTAGTTACTTAGTTTCCTTGTCATAATATATTATAAATTTTGAAATTGAAATGAACATTTTGGAAGAAGAGCTACCATTTAACATCCATACTGTAAATGAAAATCATATCAGCCAAGTACTCCATGTTAAAAAGTGTCCTAAAAGTTAATAAAAATAAAATAAGTCTAAATTATAAATTAACATCATATATAAAAAAGGAAAATGTGGGATACCGACCAAAAAAGTTTTTGAGAAAGATTTCAAGATTCATTAAAGAAGCACCAGATGAAATTTACCTTTTGAGTGGGCTGGTGCTTGTAGGCGAGAAGAGCTCTCAAAGATAATGATTGATGATATAGAAGATAAAGAAAATTTGGTGATCGTGAAAATTTCGGACATTAAAAATTACACATCAAGAATCTTTGTGATATCTGATGAAATCAATAATGGTCATTACTTACAACTGTTTCGAAAATATTCAAATTTGCGAAAACCAAATACCCCACACAAGCGGTTTTTTGTCAATTATAAAAGAAGAGCATGCACTACCCAATGTGTAGGAATTAATACATTTGTGAAATGCCTGCACAAATAGCTGCATATCTAAAACTTAAAAATCCTGAGGAGTACACAGGTCATAGTTTTCGTAGATCCTCCGCTACCATATTAGTTGATTCTGGAGAAGGAATTTCCAATGTTAAGCGACTTGGAGGCTGGAAATCAACGGCTATCGCCGAGAGCTACATAAAAGAATCCATGACCCAAAAAAATTATCAAATTAAATATTGGACACAAATCCCCTGATAGAAAAATTTGATTTTAAGAATATTCTAAGAAGATATGACCCGGAATATTGTTAGAACCTTCCCTTATTGCTAAGACTGTTCTTAGGGACTTTTAAAACATTCAATAGATACCCTTTTAATGATGCAATTAGATTCTTAAAAGCGTCTCAAAACCTTTCTAAAAAGCATCCTAAGAACATTTTAAGAAAACGTTTTTGGAATGTTCTTAGAAGGTTTCTTATGGAGCTTCTAGGAAGCTTTTGAGAATATTTCCAAATATGTCAGATACCCACGTTCTAATATGTTGTATTCTACATTCGTAAAATTCTTCAAGAGACGACAAATACGTCATAATATGACAAAATTTTGCGACTTTAATATATATTTATTTAAAAATATTAAATAAACAATTTGACCTCTAAACCATAAGTTGTATGACATTATTTCATAAAAAGTAAAATTGGAAAATTTTGTGGGATAAGTCAGATTAGATTGAAGTTAAAAATGTTAATTCAGAAATAAAAAATCGGTAAACAAACTAATAAATATTTATTTTAAACATAAAATAAAATACCTATATTAAAAGTATTTTTGTTATCGAATATTGTTTTAATTTGACAAATAACTATAAAAAAATATTTTGGATTGTGTTTTTTACTTAGTATTTAATACTAATTACTAATTAGGTACTTAAGTATAGGTATATACCTTTATACGTAGTTTATGGTATATTTTACCATTATATAGGTAACTGAACTAAATATGCTTAGCAGGAATATTCCTAAATAAAGTTTCTATAGCAATTACTTTCTTAACATTCTAAGCATATGTTTAGAGTAGACCAATTTTTACCACTAAAACTTTGCACCTTCTAAGAACCTGCCTATAGGCCAGTAACTAAGACTAGTTTACTTAGCAGGAATATTCCTAAATGAACTTTCTATATCAATTACTTTCTTAACATTCTAAGCATATGTTTAGAGTAAACCAATTTTTACCACTAAAACTTTGCACCTTCTAAGAAGCTGCCTTAGGCCAGTAAGAATATTCTTAGGACCATGCTATATGTCTTTTAAGCATGTTCTTTAGAAGAAATATAGCATGATCCTTAGAATATTGTCACTGGAAGGTTTAAAAAACATTCTTAGAATAAAGTGTGCTATCAGGGACAGCTCTTCTGAGTTAATCCAAACTTTATTAAATAGTACAACAAGTCACCCGTTGAATGAATTAACCTGTTCTACAATTAATTTAGAAAATATTAATAATTTTTCCTTTTTAATAAACATTAATACAAATTAATTTAATAATCATTGTTATCTAACTTTGCTCTCGCTAGTAGAAAAAATATTGTTCCTAACACAAAGTAATTTTTTGAATCACCCTAATCCATACCATTTGTAATGAAAATTGATATACCTACAATACTTTTTTTCAGAATGGTTCCATCGTTGGTCCATCAACCTTAGCCCCCTTGCTGGCCCTCGCGGTCTACGGTATGGGCTACAAATCTTCGATAGAGCCCTTAATGAAGGCCCTAATGTCGCTGAGCTACCTCAGATACGGCATGGTGGGATTTTGTGAGGCGATCTTTAGAGACAGAGAACCTCTTGATTGCGCCGAGGATGAAGTCTACTGTCACTACAGGATACCAGAAATTCTTATGGTGGACATGGGGATGGCAAATCAAAATTTCCATGCACAGTTATTGGTTATTCTTGGTTTTGCGCTGTTTTTCAGGGTATTTGCCTATGTGGCTCTAAAGTATCGATTAACATCCGAGCTGTCCAGTAAAATTATGCATGTTGCTTACAAGGTTTTTAGAAAAGAATAAGTTTTAAGAATGTTTTAATCGAAAGGCATAACATTAATTTTAAATTATTATTAATATACAGACAATTGTTGAATATTTTTAATAATTATGCCATTAGTTTTAATGTTTTATTATAAAATGTATGTAAATACAAAAATTTCTAGTCACACCTCTATTTATAGCAGTATTTTGGCTAACTTTTTTATTTATAATTAATATTTTTATTGTGATGATTTAGATATTAGGTTTGACATAAATAAATTCGTAGTTTTTATTATTAAAAGTTTTATTTATTCCGACCACACCGAATTTGGTTAACATGTTATAACATATACACTATTGGACAAAAGTAAAGCAACAACTGTATAAAAAATCTAACCCCAAAACGCCTTTATTAATCTTTAAGAAATTTTGGATAAAAATACTTGAACTTAAATCTCAGTTTACGTGTTTGAGGGTTTTTTAAAAAATATTTTTAAAGCCCATTTTTTTAATATTAAAAAAACCTTCGAAAAATAATTTTTACGGAAATTTTTTTTCAAGTAAATAAAAAATATACTGTTAAATAACGTATTTTTGTTAGTATACCCTGAAAATTTTGTACAAATCAAATGAACAGTAACGAAGATACAGCGATTCAAAGTCGTCAAAAATGACCACTTTTCAGCAAAATAATCAAAAAAGGGTCATTTTTACCGACTTTGAAGCGCTGTATCTTCGTTACTGTTCATTTGATTTGTACAAAATTTTTAGAGTATACTATCAAAAATACGGTCATAGATAATATAATAAATATACTGTTCCAGACCGGGCCAGTCACTTTTTCAAACAGTTTCTGAAATATCTGTGTTTTCTAAATTTAAATGCATGGGAAGTGACGAGTATACCAGGGTACTAATTAAATACATAATTTATTGGAAAATATAAGATTTATTGCAACTTTGAGCATATTATACATTCAATATCTTAAAATCAAATAATACCACACATCAGTGGCGGCTGGTGGATTTTGGGTATACCGATATCTCAATTATTAGATACGGCACCCACACCAAATTTATATAAGTTTATCATGACATTAAATAAACAAGTTCTGCGCAAGCAGAATTTAAATTGAAGTTTGCGACAAAAAGATAACCGAAACATCGAACATGGAACTGACGATACGGTATTAAGTATTTTACTGATATTTTTTATTAGTGGATACTACTTATCAACAAATCACATATAGCCTTATATAAATTACAATGAAATGTATATACGTAAGAAAATAACTACTCATCACAGTACTGAAATTTTGACTGGAACTATACGTGCATTCACCACAACTTCGCCGCTTGCATTGATTTCAAGATGACTGTCGTGCAAAGGGCGGGCTCTGTAGGTAATTTTTTACCAACACTTGTTAAAACGAGGACGACGTTTAAACTTCAATATTTCGCAGGAATTTTGAATTTTAACATTGGACACAGAACTGACGGGTAAAAGTGAGTAGAAAGATTATCAATTTTTTAAAAATTGCTATTATTCGAATCTATGATAGAATATGAAGAATACATTATTTAATGTTTTATAGTTTGTAGTGAAATTGAAAAATTTAAGATAAATTGAATACATTTTAAAATAAAATCACTCAAATATTTGATTCAGGAGTTGTGACACACCAAGGTACTGATGTTTTGAATATTTATTATGTTTTCTACAAACGTGCTTTTGAAAAAATACATTAAAATTGGGTGGACAAGTTAAAAAAACCTGGATCTTTTGTAATATACTAAAATATTTACACAAAATATTAAAATACCTACTCTATTGACTGATGACATCAAGTTGTCCAACTTTTGTAGAATCACCCATATAAATATATTTATGCTTTTTTAATTTATTATACTTTTGTTAGAATTATTTTGCGTTCTCCAGTTTTTTCACTAATAAATACACACCCTGTATATGCGGAAAGGTTTTACAATAATTAAATAAAAATATACAATTTACATTGTTTTATATTTACACAAATTTAATAAAATGGATTTATTGAATTAAAATCCTTAATTGATTGGATTATTTTATTAATTATACTAAAAATATATACTATAAAAATTCAAAATTGTTGGTCTGCCAAAAGATTAAAAATTAATAATAAATGATTAAATTCGACATTACATCTAAGTAAATATCTGAAGTGGGACTCTCTAATCCTAATTCAATTGAATTCCAACATAACACCCAAGATTAAAACAAACAAGCAAATCTCTATAAATACAATACAATTTAATTAGATTTATTTTGTAATCCCACATAAAAAGTTAAAACAGGGGCGACATTTTATTTTAAGGATCTGTTAGTCATTTCTTTAGTTATAGGTACCTACATTATTTTTGGTTGTTTCACTGTTAGTCTGGAATGGGGTTTTTGGGAAGCCACCTTAATATTTAAAAAAAATACAATTGTACACATATAAAATATTTATAAAAAATCTACTTACTGAGATATTTCACTTTACGGTGGATAGGTTTTTAAATAGCAAAATAATATACTTAATCTTTTAAATTAATAAACAGCAACACTCTCATCTGCATATAAATTCTAACTGACCTTCAGGAATCACATGCATCTATAATGTCATAAACAGAGGTTTTTGCTTATTGCCACCCGTTGCATAAAATTGAAAGCAAAAACAAATTCACGGAGGATAGAATCAATTTTTGTACACCTACATAAATGGTTATAAAAATTATTTCTTTTAATTTTTAAAAATATTTTATATTTGATTCGATTTCTTTGTGTGTTTAATTTACTTGGTGAACTGATATTTTTAGTTTGCTTAAACTACCTCAGATATTTGAAAACATATAGTTTAACCTAGAAAGAGTAACAGTCACGGAGAATAGGTTTTAGACTTTTAAAACATTGTAAAAATAATTAATTGCGGGTAAAAATCTGGAACCTGAGCTGTAATATCTACTTAATTATAAAAGATCAAAACACAATAAACACCATCAGGGGACAACTATATTTGGTAAATTATAATTATATAGAGTTAAAATAAAGTTAAACCGGTTGAATATATTTCAAGTTTAAAAAGTAGTTAAAAAGGGAAAAATAAACCAAAAACTACCAAATATTACTTCTTTTTAACCAAAAGGTAGATTAACCAAGAAGTTAAATTTAACTAACATAACGTTAATTTTACCATAGTTTAATTCCTCACTTATTACAAAATAAAGTTAATTTCAGGTTAATTTAACGTTGTAGTACAATATTACTTAAATGAAATAACCAGGCATAACGTAAATTTAACGTTAATTTAACCAGTTGTGATACTTGGTTTTGGTCGAAATATTAACTTTTTAACAAACTCAAAAAACAAAAAAATGCAAAAGGTAAACAAATTTTACATTATATTGTAATCGATACTTAGACCTTATTTTGATTTGTTTTTGATTAAACAAAGCGTTGATTAATCAATTGACACACTTCCTAATAATACCGTTTATACACATTGCATAGGGGGCAGGGATTAACAAAAAGGGATGGATGTGAAATTCTAAAATCACGTACCGACCATCTAATGCCTCCCCGGACATTTTAAACACGTTTAATGTACGGACAAATGTTACGGATGTGTTTGTTAGTGCTTTACTAAAAAAGATTTTTGCACGCCAATGTGTTACCTACTATTACTTAATAATAATAATAATAATTACTAATTAAACCGAAAATAACACACATTGTTTTTAAATTGTATTGCCCATCATATTTTTCCTAGCCATTTTTATGTATACTGTCTATTTTTATTCATATTTTAAATCAGTCGTTAAGGACTGATATAAATTATATCAATCGATTTACATTTTATTGGCCAAAAAACAAATCTAGTAAACCATGACTTATATTAGCGAAATTATTTTCTATGGTTAAAAGCAAATGTCACAAATGTCAAATAAATAAATTTTAATTGGTTTATGTCTAATTTAAAATGTCAATGTATAGAAATCCACTTTTTTAGGGAAAATATAAACGTTGAAAGATAATTACCCAATTTATTTTATAAAACAACAGATTTTAAAGAAAAATACTGCGTTGCCATGTTGTGCAAAAACCTATATCCACTGATATGCTGATATTTTTTTTATCTGGACTGCTGCAACGTTGCAAATTTAGGATTTTGGTTGGTAAATACAGTTGTCAAGTTGGTCGCATTGATTAAAACAAACTAAGCTAGTTATAAATCTAATTGTGGTTATGTATAAATTATTGTAGGTTACATTGTGCAGTTGTCAAGTTGAGTTGTCGAAATTCGTAGTTAAAAATGCAATGTATTTGGCTTTGGTGGTGCTTGGATGAGTAAAATAATATAAAAAAGTAGTTAAATATAGGTTGCTTTACGGCCCAGAAGAGAAAGTATTCCTAGCGGATAATAATCTTCGCTTTGAAAAGAATTTATATAAAAGAAATTAAAATTTTTTGTGAACGTAAATGTTGTCCAATGGTGAATAATGTGAAAATAATGTTTGATGTAATATTTATAAAACCAAATTCGTTATTTTTTTACTCCAAAAATGTCCATAAGGCGATGTACTTTTTCTTCCATTGTGGCATTTGGCATAATTTCATCAAAATGAAGTTTTGCCCTCAAAAGGGCTTTTACATTCGAATTCGTTGCTATTATTTTTGGCATAATTATCTTTTTATTTATAATTGACAAGTAAATTATCAATAATAAATATTATTGTCAATTTGACAGTGTCAAAGTATTTAATTAAATTCTTTAGCAGAAGTACCATTTTTAAATACTAAAAATACTAAGTCAAACTGGCATAAGCCACCAACCTAACAAAAAAACAAGAGTCCAGATAAAAAAAATGAACTGTAAATCAGTTGATATAAATAAATCAACGTTTGTTTGTTTTTCTTGCCGTAAGCAGGTAGTGGTGGGGATAACCATTAAACCGTTAATGAAAACACTGATTACAAGTTTATGAGCTTGGTCCGTTGTTCAGGAAAAAATAACGAAGTTTCAAGACATTTTTCCTTAAGTAACTGCATGGGTTTTAAATAGATTTGCATTATTAAAGTTTAAATAAGCGATATTAATTA